TGAGCTCTGTCTGTTACTGCAAACCTGCTGCTGCAGTGGTGAGTGAGGCAGCAGCAAGTTCCTCCCAGGGAACTGTTCATCCCTGTCCCACACCAGAACATCCACAGTGCAGGGGTGACTGTTCTGAGGAGAGGTGGAGGTGAAGAAACTGAGGAAAACTGAGGAAAAGAGTTTCCTAGATGAAGATGGTGCAAAGGAAGAAAAGGGAGAGCTGGTGGGATTCTCGCAGCCAAAGTGCAAGTTGTTATTTTAGTTTAAATTTTTTTGTTTCTTAAAAGTTTCCAAGCCTATCCAGAATATTTCAGGTTGAGGCAAGCTGAGGAGAAATTGCAGCCTTTGATTTCAGCTGGGAAGGACAGCAGGAGGCACATGCCAGAGGAAGTGCTGGAGGACAGAAGGAAGACTGAGCTGATACTGAGCTCCAGCCTGTCCTGCAGGTTGTCAGATTCTGGTCTGCTCCCAGGGGTGGCCACTCTCTCCACATCGTGGGATAGCACTGCATGGTGGTGCTCACAGTTGTTACTTAAATACTGAACTGTCCTACTGATAAGAATCAGTAATGCAGCCCTTCTCCTTAAGGGTGGATTTTTGGATTTTTTTGACTACCATCCATAGAAAGTGACACTAGAACTGACTTGCTGCTGCTTTGCAGATCATAAAATGATGGAGTTACATGTGTAAAAGAAAAATACTTTTCTTTGCTTCTGGCATGATTGTTACTTTCAGTCTCAGAGCTGGTTGAATATTATTGAAGGCAAAACAGAACAATCCTGGATTTGTAGTCACATTCATTTTAGCCAAACACTGAATTCCTTCATTTTTACCTTATATGAGCTATTCATTTCTACTTGAAATCAATTAATCTGTAGTAAATAATTTCTTTTTCTTACTCTGAGTAGAAGGTATCAGTAATGGAGTGAGGATCAGTTCTCAGAGAGAAGCTGACTTGAAAAATGGATCCCTAAGCAGATCCATGATAAACTTTATGATCTTCGTGGGTCGCACTGAGGACATTCTGTGACTTTAAAAGCAGTTATTTAATTTTTTTTTGTTGTTGTTTTTGCAGGGAGGAGAGTCACCCTGGGGCAGTTATACCAGATATTTTTATTCTCCTGATTTGTCAGTGGTGATAGAAAATAGAGTCACTTCAGGCTATGTGTTGTAGTCAGACTTCTGGTTTAGAGGATGCTGGATTTTCTGATTTTGTTTCTTCACTGGTAGCGTGATTAAGATTTGCATGGAATTTGCTTGAGGATCATCTGTGTTCCCAAAGCAGGGATGTCATAGGCTTGTTTGAGGTCATGGAACATAGGAAATAAGTTACTCTCAAAAGTTCTTCACTCCCCCCAGGCTATTATTTATAGTAACTGTAAACAAAATGTGCTGAACTTTGCTTTTTAATTGTGAAATCAGGAGTAGCGTATCATTTGCTTAGCACCTGGTTGCAAAGGCAAATGCTGTTTACCTCTGCTGAGTCCCAAATTAGGATTATCAAGTGTTCAAGGGGAAGCTGATGCTCTGGGAGGCTCAGGCAGAAATGTAACCCTGCCTGGAACATTCTTTTTGAGAGCACTTGTTAAAACATGTGAGTGAGCTGTGCACATCCCTCTTGTGCAAGCAGCTTTGGCTGCTGGTGTTTATCCTCTGCTAGATCAGGGACTCACTGCACTTAGAAATAAAAAGTGCAACCAAACACCTTGTCTGAGCTGCTGCTGTCCTGCCACAATTAGGTTAAATATCAAAAGGTGTGTCCCAAATCCAGGCAAGCCGTTTGTGACTGGCTTGGTGAATGAAGGTGGTTTCCAAGACAAGTGTGAGTTTGCCAGGGTTGTGTGAATGTTGCCACAGAGAAGATACTGAGTTGTTTTTTTTTTGTTGTTGTTTTATAGAGCATTGTGTAAGATTGTGCTTGGGCTTGTGGAAGCCAAATCTACAGAAAATCCCTGAAACCACAATCTTCTTGGCACACTTATCTGTATATTTTGGTAGGAGCAGGAGAATACAGGCAGTACAAAGAAATCCATGGAAATCAAAGCTGGTTGTATTGCAGACCAGAATCTCCTGCTTGCTGGAGGGAAGATGCCAGCCTGTGGTCCTGAAAAGAGATGTTGAAACCATCACAGACCCCTTATTGCCTCTGTTCTTTGTTATTTCCCCTGTATCAGGGTGGTGGTATTCTCAGCAGCCAAAGTTCGAGTTGTTGTTATTTTAGTTTAAATTTTTTTATTTCTTAAAAGTTTCCAAGCCTGTCCAGAATATTTCAGGTTGGGCCAAGCTGAGGAGAAATTGCAGTCTTTGATTTCAGCCATCCCGATGGGTTGGGTGAATTTAGCTGGAAGGGTTTTGTATAAAGTGCCACAAAGACAGGAAGTGTTCCCAGAATTTAATATGGGGTTTAATCCTGTATTGTGCTGGTATCTCTCTCGAGATTAGCTAGATTACAATATAATTTACTAAATTGCAATGTATCACAGCAGCTTTGTGTAATCCTGTGCTGCAGATACCCAGAGGTTCAGAGAGAGTGCTGCTGAATTCCCAATTCTGCTGAAAACAGAAAATATTAGCATTTGTAACATGTCAGCTGAAATATTCCAAAAATGGTTTCAGCTTTTTGCAGCTGGATTTGTAGCCACTATTTTATCCTGAGCGTGGGCAGGAAGTGGGGCTTTGTACACTTCCAATCCCAGGAATGTTTGCTGCTCTGGGTACCACCAGCACCTCTCCCACTGTGAGGAAAGGAGCAGTGATGCTGCACTGAATGCAGGCAGCCCCAAAAATGAGTCTGTATTGCTAAAAGCAGAAGGATAAAGAGAATTTCTATTTTCCCCCCAGTTATTTCTTACCTTTGCTGGCACTGGGGTGTGTTTGGAGCACTCTTGGTGCATTCTTGAGCCCTTGTGCTCACAGCAGCAGAACAGGCAGAGACAACCAAAGCCACCTAAACAGTGCCAGATGGAAATCCCCCATGTCAGCTTCACATGGCTTCACCTCTAAATGTTTGGGCTCTGATTCCAGGCTTGTGCCCTAGTTTGTTGTGTTCCTTTGGAAGCTTTGTTTTCTGTAATTAAAAAATGATGATTACATGCAGTCACCAGCTGTGCCAGGCACAGTTCTGCAGCGAGCAGAGCTCTGTGACAGATATGTTCAGATGGATTGGTCACATTTTTCTCTAATAACCCATCAGGAGCCAGCTTGCTTTTTATGTTTTGATAGTCTTGGTGTTCACTGCAGAGCTGAAGAAAAGCATTGTGGATGGTTCCCCCATTAATTTGGTTGTATCCTAACAATATTTGTATTTCATAGAACCATAGAATCCAAGAATTTATTTGGGTTGGGAGGGGTCTTAAAGACCCTCTAGTTCCACCCTGGGGCACCTCCCACTGTCCCAGGTTGCTCCAAGCCCCATCCAACCTGGCCTGGGCACTTCCAGGGATCCAGGGGCAGCCACAGCTTCTCTGGGCGCCCTGTGCCAGGGCCTGCCCAACCTCACAGGGAAGAATTTCTTCCCAATATCCCATCTAAACCTGCTCTCTGTACTTTAAACTTCTATCCCCTTGTCCTGTCACTACATGCCCTTGCAAAAAAAATACCTCCCCCTCTTTCTTGTACACTCCCTTCTGTATTTTTATACCCTTGAGTTGTGTTAAATTATGTGTTATTCTAAAAACTACTTTCTCATGCTTAATTTAAACCTCTCACCTGATCATTGCACAAGGCACTTTCCCATGTAGCTTATAGAAGTAATGATATTCAGATTTCTTATGTGTTTTCTGTTCTGCTTATAACTTCATGAATTAATATCCTCTCTTTTTTTTTTTTCCCATTCACATTTATTTTAAGCTGTACAGTTTTAGGCAATTTCACCTACTTTCCTGGGGAAATCCCTGTGTGCCTTCTGTGCAGTGACTTTCCATACACCCATGGACAGCTGGATGGCCAAACCTGAATGCTCTTGTTGGTTGTTCTTGTGGGTTTTTTCCCCCCCCACATCTTGCTGTTAGTATTTACCAACCTTCAGTTCCAGTGACTAAGTATTTTTGGTGCAAAAACTAGAATTAAATAATAAATTTATATATATATTTTAAAAAAATATCAACTGCTCAAAAAGATCCCAAAGTATCTGAAAAAAGCAAGAATCAAATTTGAACAACACTTTCTACTTGCCCAAGTGGCAAAGTGAACAGTATAAAAACATTTCTGAGAACATTTGGTACAAGGGGCCTGTTTGGAGCCAATTTTCTCTGGAACAGCAATCATAGTGAACTCTTGGATTTTTTTAATATTACTCTCTACTTGGAGAGTGATAGATTTAAAATACTCTCAGTCCTGAGAATTTTACTTGTTTACTTGAGCAATTTGAAAGGAATTGGAGATTAAGTCCTCAGTTCCTTGATGTTATCCCTTGAAATGCAGGCTCCTTGTTTGTCATCTATTCAATTTTCCTTGCCATCATTTTTATTTGTATGTAAAGAGAAAAGACATCCAGGGTAGTTCTGGGAAAGAAAAGCCTTCAATAGATTTTTTTCCTGCAGCATGAACAGAAGTAATTTGACAGCAATTACAGCACCAGGGCTCTGAGGAGAAGGACTGAGTGACTCCCATCCTTTCACACAGCATCACTTCACTCCGAGTGGCAAAACAACAATGGCCATGATGCCCTGTGAAGGCTGAGCTGGAGCAGAGGCTGGGCAGAGCTAAAGAATAAAGTAGGGATTTATTAAAATGCCTCAAAGGATCCACCTTGGGCAGCACAAGAGCCCAGCAAGGGCTACACCTAAAATGGACCAAAATGGTCACAAAATGCATGACTGGTCAAGGGGTCTCTCACTTTTATAAGTTCTGCTCCATTTGCATATTGGAGTTAATTGTTCAATTCCAGCTTTAGCCCATGAAGTCCCACCCTGCTTGTTTTTCTCTCTTCATTCCACGTTGTTTGTGCTCTTGGGCCTGAGATTTGGATCATTTGTCCTTGGTGCCCAGTTGGAGCAGGAATAGTTTTGTCTCCCTGCTCTGTGCAGAGAGCCACCATGCCCTGATATGAAGCCCAGACCCACACACTAAAGCAGCACAGAGTCTGAAAACTATAAAAGCTAAACCCTGAGGCATTGGCCAGAACCAAACACTGCCCAGAGCCAAACCAAACCAAACACTGCCATCTCCTGAGGATGACACACCCCTGGTGCATGTGGAATTGCCCTTTTTTTGCAGCTTTGTACAAACCTGCCTGAGAATCATGAGGAGATGTGGATGGATAATGGGCTGAGCAGCTCAAGGTGCCACAGGGTCTTGTCCCAGAGGGAGCATCCCAGAAATAGTCTGGGGAAGAGACCTCACCGAGACCTTCCAGAACTTTCTTCCCTGTGAAGAGGCCCTGGCACAGAGAAGCTGTGGCTGCCCCTGGATCCCTGGAAATGTCCAAGGCCAGGCTGGATGGAGCTTGGAGCAACCTGGGACAGTGGAAAGTGTCCTGCCCACAGCAGGGGGGTGAAATGAGATGTTTAAATCCCACCCAAACCATTCCATCCTTCTCTAAGTACTTTAAAGCTCACTCATCTCTAACCTCCCATGCTTCTTTTCAAGGAAAGAGTTTAAATAAAAGGTGCCCTGTCATATTCAAAGTAAAGGATTAAAAAAGCAATTATGGAAGGCAAGAGCTTGATTTGGATGTTTAAGATGTCTTGTAAAAATCCCAAGAATTCTCTAAATAGAATTTAAACTGAAAGCATATGAAGCCATGAATTCTCAGCTCTATTTTCACTGTTAATATTGTATAACTAAAGCCAGATCCAGAAAAAAAGGATTCTTTTAATGGGAGGAGCATAATTTTAGCACAGCTGCCACGGAAACACACAGGGCCAAGCTCTGCCCACAGTTGCCTCTGGAGATAGCTGGGTTTAATGCTTTTGCAGGAGCCATGTAGAGAAAATCTCTGACATGCTGTTACTAATTTCATTTGTGGAAGATGAGATAAATATTAATGAATATAAACACATATTATATGTAGACTCACCAGTTAAATAACTGTGCTGGCTGAATTAATGTGCTTTGTAGTCAGGAACGTTCAGCTGGAATGATGCTTTCTGAAAGGCAATTTCTGCGAGTTTATAATTTTATAAATGCTACCTGAAAAACCTCCTGTTGAAGTTGGGAGCCTGCAGACATTTTTTTCCTCCACATCAAGGTAATTTCCATCCCTTTTTTCTGCTCCTCACTGCTTCCTTGGCAGCACTGATCAAAGCATCTGAGGGGTGCCTGATGATCAGCCTTTCATTATTTCAACCAGGACCAGATTTAGGACCCAGAACACTGCATAGCCTCCTAAAACATCTGCTGCAGTTCTGGTGAGGAACAGGACTAAATAACTGAGCTTTGGAGGATATAGAAATTAGCTGACAGAAATAAAATAAGGTGCAGCTAATTCGTGCTGCCTCCCCATGGCTCCAGCTTAAAAAGATTTAAAGATACTGAAAAGTGTCAAAATAATCAAAATCTATTATGCAACAGTAGGAAATACTGAAGCTGTTCTTTAAATAGCCAGTGACACAGAAGATTTTTGTGTGCTTTCCTGGGGGGTTACTGTTCCTTTTGAAATCCTAAAAGAGGTTGCTGCTATTTTCTTTAGTCTTTTACAGTAGTGGGAACTAAAAGGTAGAGGTACAAATTGTGTGTAGATAAATAAATTTGGTGATACTATGCATCCTATAGTGAAGAATATGCATCATATAATGTGCAGCTATAGAAAACTGTAGTCATTTTAACAAATTCATAATCAGGAAATGCCATTTAACATAGAAGTCGATGTATGGTGCTCATTTATTTATTAAGTATGCTAGGAGGATAGGGAAAATTGAGGATGAGAATTCTGCTGGAAGCTGTGTCCATCATAAAAGAGGATTAAGGTGCTCAGGAGGGTGAGTTGCTTCACTCACCTGGCTCTCCACAGTCAGGATTTGACCCTAACACTGTAAAAACACTGAGATGTTTCTAATTGAGCTGAATTTGAATTATGACCTCTTTGGCAACTCTTGCATTTCACTTGGCTTTGCTTTTGAACTGCTGCAGGTTTTGTTTGGGGGTTTTTCTTCCTCCCTGGAGCTGGATAAATTTGCTCAAGAACATTTTGGGATAGATGGAGTGTTGGACTGTTCGGAATGAGCTTTTGGTGACACTGACCTAAAGGTGCCACTACTCAGTGAATAAAAAACACTTCCCCTTTGTAACCCTGAGCTTGGTTTATTCTCTAAACCTGCAGGAAAAATGCATTTTGTTTCATCATGATCCATTAATTTAAGAAATACTTCTTCTGACTGTGACAACCCTTCCTTTCAGTGGTCCTGGTAATCACAACAAATGAGGTCAGCATTTCCCTTGGTCCTCCTCAGGCTGTTAACGTCCATGTGGGATAATCATGGGGGCAGAAAGGACTATCAAAAAATGTCAGGAAGGCCAAAATGGTTAGTTTTCATTGTTGCCATTGTTAGAAAGTTCAAGAGAAAGAAGTGCTGAGTAGCACTGCTGGTGATAATGACAAATAGTGAGGGCTTTGCTTAGAACAGAGGGGGAAAAATTACATTCAAGAGGGCTCTTGGGAAATCAGGCTGCCTGGGTGGCAGGAATTTCAATAAAGAGCTTTGAAGTGATTTCAGAATAATTTGTGATGCTTTCTGATAAATTTGTGTGGACAGGTGAGGAACTTGGCTGCTGTAAAACTCGCTTGGTACCTGTCTCTAATAGGAAAAAAGGGGACCTGGGTAATAACAGATCAGTTTAATTTTCACTTGCCCGAGGGAAAAAACCTGAAAAAAAGCACAGGTCTGGAAGGTGCTGGACAGTTAAAACTAGTTAAAACTATGTGGTTGTTTGGGGAAGTGTCATCTCATACCAGAGTAATGTCATCCTCTGACAAGATTAAAAGTTCTCACTGCTGTGGGAGGGACATTATGTGACAAATCCCAGCTCTTTTGGGCATGGTCTTTCTGTGCCACACTCAGGATGAAACTGGGTGCAAAACGGTTGGATGATCATAGAATCCTGGAATGGTTTGGGCTGGAAGGCACCTTAAACATCATCTCATTCCAACCCCTGTGCCACAGGCAGGGACACCTTCCACTAGACCAGGTTCTTCAGGGCCCATCCAGCCTGGCCTTAAACACTGCCAGGGATGGGGCAGCCTTCATCATCCTCACTGGGAAGGATTTCTTCTTAATATCTAATCTAAATTGATCTTCCTTCAGCTTAAAGCCATTCTCCCTTGTCCTGTCATTACATGCTGGTGTGATAAGTCCCTCTCCAGCCTTCTTGTAAGCCCCTTTTAGGTACTGGAAGGCTGCTATAAGGTAAATTAAATGGGTATTTTCAGGTTGTTTAATTCAGTCCATGATGGTGAATAAAAGATGTTGTTTCCTATATTTGTGAGCAAACTAGTACAAGTTTGAGAATCTGTAGGCTAGTGTGATGCCTTAAGGAGCTGCAACAGAGGCTAGATGGAGTTAAGAGGAATAAATTGGATATTTTTTGAAGTGCCTTCAAAGGCCACACCCTGGCAGTACCCCCATGGCTCCAAGATGGAAGCAAAAGAGAGCTTGGTCACAAGTTCTCACATTTTTATAAGTTTTTGTTCATTTGCATACAGGAGTTAACTGTCCAATTAATAGCTTCAATTTATGAAGTTTCATCCTCCTTGCTTGCTTGCCCTCCCTCCTCTTCTCACGTTGTTTATTCTTTGGGCCTGAACTTTGAAGAGATTGTCCTTCAGTCTCCAGCTAGAACAGGAATGTTTTGTCTTCACCACCCCGTGAAAAGATCCCAGTAACACTTAACATAAAGCTAAAAGCCGCACACCAAAGCAGAACAGAAAAACTTATAACCTCAGGTAGGTTTTCTCCTAAAAGGTAGGTTTCTTCCTTAAGGCAGGTTTTCTCCTAAAGGTAGGTTTCCTCCTTAATGCAGATTTTCTCCTAAAACCTATGGAGAGGTTTTGAGCCTTGATAAATTGAGAAATGGTGATGGAGAGCCTGGGAAAAGCTCTCAGTGAGTGTGAGATGCTGGGTTTGGAGGAAGCAGCCCAGCAGGCAGCAGCTGTTGTGCCAGCAGAGGCTGCTGCTGCTGACACTGGGTCACAAGCTGAACATGAGTCAACAAACTGGGCCCACTGTGCAAAGGCAAACACCACGCTGGGTGTAAACTGTGCTGCAGACAGCAAAACACACACTGCTGGCTCCTCCTGCCGCTCTCACCCACAATACCCAGTTTTGGGGCTTGGAGCTGTGCTCCTGAGGACACCCTGCACGCTGCCCTAATCCCTGTCTGTGCTGGGCCAGGGCAGAGCTGTTCACTGCTGCCTTGTGCCTGCCTGGCTGCTGTCTGGCACAGAAAAGCTGCCTCCTCCTGCCAGCAGGAAGGCAGAGACTGATGGGGGTGAATAAATGGGGTTCTCTTTGGGTTGCTGGGCCATGCACAGGTGCTGTGACACTGTGACCACTCCAGCTTCTTTAGCAGGTGTCCATTTCTGTTCCACTTCTGTCCATCTGTTTTCCCAGACAGAGAGATGCTCATGCTTAGGGTAGCTGTGGAAGTCCAGTATTATTTTTTTTCCTTGATCTCATTGCCTGTTTCTCTTGGTTTTAACTGTACAGTCCCAGAGGATGGCCATGTCCCCCATACTGGATTTTTAGGGACATGTTTTTCACACAGTACCTCGTTGCATTCTGTGGGTGCTGCCTGAAATCCACAGGGCTCCTGGGAATTGCATCCACGCTGTCTTTGTAACCAGCCTGAGCTCAGAATGGATCAGGATCAACTCCTCTTGTCTCAGGAACACCTCATTTTCCTGCTGCTAAAGGCAGGTGATGGAACATCCTGAAATATGACCCCCTCTCTGGGGGTCCTCTTATTTTCACGTGTAAGGGGGACTGCAGGATATGCAGAATTTTGGCAATAAATACAGATTTATGGCTTTAAACCACAGTGAGGACAGGTAGGTTTTAACAAGCTGTTAGACCAGGCTTTAGAATGCTTTTGCCTTCCTCTCCTAAAGACATCCAAATAATCTTTCCTGGCTCTGTAGCATTGCCAGGAACAGAAGGGTTGGTCTCCAATGCCTCCTGCAGCAGATCCTGAGTGCTCAGTTGCTCCATGAATATCTCCTGGAGAATTTTCAGGCCTTCCCAACTCACAGCTGTTTATGAGGGACTTTCTGCTGGCTGCCAGCGCGGCTCTGGGTTTTGCTGGGCTGCGCTGATGGAAATGTGAAAGATGAATTAACCTGCAGGTGCTTAGTCAGAGCTGCACATGGTTTTCCAGGCATGGGAGCCAATTCTCAGGGTCAGAGTGTCTGGAGTGCGTTTGGCCAAGTGCCTGGATGGTGGCCAGCATCACGAGAGTGGCTAATTACAGCAGGCTGGGCAGGGGACAGGCACCACTTGGTTCTTGGCCTCTCCTTCTTTGCCAAACGGTGCTGGGGTCACACAGCACAGGGGGAGAGACACCCACGTGTCCCTGCTCTTTGAGCAGAGGCTCAGCAGCATCCCCAGAAGTTCCTTTAGCAATGCAAGGGCTAAACAAACAGCAGCAGATGGGATGGCCCCGTTGTTGTGCTCCACAAAGCTGCCAGACAACTCCAGGACACGTTTTGTGGAGTTGCTGCTCGCAGTGGGTCGGTCTGAGTGATCAGGGAGGAAATGAGGGAGCAGCAGGATTGCTGCTGGATCCTTCTCAGTGCTGATTAGGAAGGAGCACTGGAAGTGTTGGCTCACCTCTGAGCACTGTGTGCTGCTGCTGCAGCGAGGGTAAATACAGAATCAATAGCAGCTTTTAGGACACCTTTTTTTTTTTTTTTTTTTTTTTCTGCCGAGACAGTTCCTCCCAGGGGCATTTTTTTTAGGAGAGAGGTTATCTCAGGAGTCTTTTTCCCAAGAGACTTCTCTGTTATGTGATGTTTTAGCAAGAAAGACCTTCTCCAGAGACTGCACATTCTCTCAGGGGATTAATGTTTTGCAGAGCATTTCCTTGCATGTTTCAAGAAAACCAATTTCTGTCCCCATTTATTTGAAAACAACACCTCATATCAGTCATAGCCTTTGGTCTGTGGTGTGGTGGCCTCCCTCACCTCCCAGGCTGAACTTCAGGTGGACAGAAGTCATGCTGCTGTATGCAGCCAGTGCCTGTGATCAGTGCTGCCCTTGGTTACAGGTACTCAGTGCCTGGGTCACCATCCTTTCTGGAAATCTCATCCCTTGCTGCTGTAGGATAAGTGTCCAGGAATACAGCCCCAGGCTCAGGGAATAGTGGAGCCAGAGGCCACAGCAGCTTGGACAATTCAGTCCTTTTCCTCTCGGTTTCTCCACAGGAATGACTTTGCTGCCATTTGCGTGCCCAGTTCAGCCCTTAAAGGGCTTTCCCAGAGTCCCAGTGTGACAAATTCAAAGCCAAACAGGGAGCAGTGTCGTGCTGCTTCCCACCAGTGCCAGCACTGCCACATGATGATTTCTGGAGCTGAAAGACCTCTGAAGTCTGAAAAACCCTGGAGTGACTGCCTCTGGGGTTACCACTTCCAAGGCCGGGGATTGCTGGATTCCCAACCTGGTTTAAGTAGGGCAGAGAATGCGAGTGGAAGGGGAAAGAAATGTCACAAGCTGGCAGGGAGCTGTCTGCCCCTGCAGGGACCCGAGGTGGATCCAAGCCATCAGGCTTCACAGCCAGGACGAGCTGCTAATTTCACTGGTGGCATTGCCCCAGCTGCCCTGCTTGGAAAAACGCTTGGGTTTTGTTTGTGCACAAGGGAGTCGTGTTCTGCGGGTGCCCCGTCCACCACGGGGGACGTCTCTGTGAGCAGAGGGCCAGCACTAATGCCATCCTGTGTGGCTGGGAATGAATTCACCCTTTATTCTGTGCTCTCCATCCCTGCTGGGCTCGCAGCTCACAGGCGGGGAGGAGATGCTGCCATTTGCAGCTCCACACCCTGGTGCCTCTAATCCCAGACAAAACCCGGCCCATGGAGCAGCAAACACAACAAGCCCTCTATTCTTAGCCTGGAAAGCCTCAAAGCTGGTTCTTTGGGGTGTGGGGCGATGAATATGCAGTTGCTGGAGCTCTCACAAAGCCTTGAGCTGGGAGCAGACGCTCCTCTCCCATTGGATCTGTAGCCTTCGCTGCAGCTTTTCACAGTTACATAAATATGGCCTATTTTCCCCTCCCAAATTAACATCTTGCTCGCTAAGTTTAGGCTCTTGCATGCATACAATACAGACCTGCTTTTTCACATGCAGCTGGAAATCCTGGGTTGCCCAGGGAGAAGCTGTCCCTGCCCCTGTAAGGCTGGGGGGCACCTTCATGGTGGTGACAGAGAGTGGCACTGACAGTGTCCCCTTGGAGGTCCTGCACACCACACTGCAAATCATCAAATTGCCCTTTTTTTTTCCCCCTCTGGGAGAGTCAGATCCCAGCCTACAAGGCTGACAGAGTGTCTGTCCTCCTAGAGACTAGAAGTTTGGCTTGGGGCACACAGCAGACAGCTCCTCACTCCCCACAGGACACAGAGAGGGGGATTATTTTCCCCAAAGATGGTTCTTGCCCACCCTCCCCAATGGCTCTGCAATGTATCCCCATTAAAACAGCCCTACAGAAAATGGATGTCACTTGGAAATCTCCCAGCCCTGGGCTGTAGGAAAGCTGTGCATCCTCAGAGACTCCTGACAGCTTTGTTAGTGATGTAAGTAATACAGAGAGCTGCAAGAGAGATGCCCACAGCCCCCTTTGCAGTGATAGTGCTCCCAGTTTTAGCATCCTAAAGGATCAGCTCCTCAGCACCACTGGGATCTCTCTGGGACGGAGAAACAATCATGGTCTTGTCATGGCACCAAATCTCAGCATTTAGCTGCTCTTGTGGTCGGAATGAGGATGGGAATACTGATGCCTTGTGAAGGCTGACCTAGAACAGAGGCTGAAAAAAATAATAAAGCAGGAATTTATTAAAAGGTCTCAGTGGACCTACCTTGGGCAGCACAAGAGCCCAGCCAGGGCTGCACCCAAGATGAACAAAAATGGTCACAAAAAATGGACAGCCAGTCACAGGGTCTCTCACTTTTACAAGTTTTGCTCCATTTGCATATTGAAGTTAATTGTCCAGTTCCAGCTCCAGCCCATGCAGTCCCATCCTTCTTGTTTTCTCTCTTCAGCCCACGTTGTTTGTGCTCTTGGGCCTGAGATTTGGATCATTTGTCCTTGGTCCCCAGCTAGAGAAGGAATTGTTTTGTCTCCCTGCTCTGTGCAGAGAGCTCACCATCCCCTAATGTGAAGCCCAGACCCACAGAATAAAGCAGCACAGAATCTGAAAAACATAAAAGCTGAACCCTGAGGCATCAATACCTGGTTAAAGGCCCTGAAGTGATCATCCCTTGGGCCTTGGATGTGCTGCTCCAGGCAGAGAATCCATTCACAGCCACAGACCCACAGCGAGACCTTTTCTCTTGCAGGGCTGATGGAATACTGAGACTGGAAATATGTTCTGACCTGTGAGGAGGAACTTTCCTGGAGCTGGGTGCCAACATCCTGAGGTCCGTGGAGCAGGCAGAGTACTGGATTTTGGATGGTAGGATGGATCCTATCCTCTGCTGTGGGAATGTTCATCATTTTAGGTGAATCTTGAAGGCGTGTGACTGAACACAGCCACCCAGAGATGGGGATGGGCCTGGTGTGCTCCCAGGTTAACTGCTGGGCAGGGTATTGACTTGGAAATTCTGCACTTGTAATTCCATGCATCACCCATTGATTTCTATTAGCAGCAGCCCTGTAGCTAGAGATCCATGTGTCTGCAAACACCAGTGGGAAACCTTGGAGTAAAACGGGTGAGTGGGGGTTTTGGGGAGGGTAGGCTACCTCAAACATCTGACTTGACTTTCATTTTCATCCTTCTGACCAAACTGAGATCCCCCAGGTGAGATCTGAGTGGCAAAACACTGGAGCAGAGGAGAGGAAGAGATCTGGGAGCGTCCAAAAAAAGCTGAAAAAGGCCTCAGGTACAAAGCTCTCCCTTCCTTCCAGAGGATCACACGCTTCTAAGCATGCAGTGTTTTAGAGAAATAAAACCTGTGGAGCGAGGAATTGGTGCCCCTTTGGGAAGGATTCTGGCTGGATCTAAGCTCCCCCCGTTTTGGGCAGTGCCAGGGACTGCAGGTGGCTCTGCCAGCAGCTTCCTGACACCATCCGAAGGGGAGGTGGCACTGCTGGAGGCTTTCAGCCCCTCCAACAGCCCTGCCAGCCCTTTGCATCTGCACCAGGACAGCCCAGAGAGCGGGGATGAGAGGGGAGGCTGAGCTGCTGCTGTGGGATGTGCTCAGGCCAGCCCCCTGCCACCCCCCAGTGTCCCTGGGCAGCACTGGCCTTGGGGCTTTATTAGGAGCCACCCACGAAAAGCTGAACTGTCACTGCAATCCCTTCCTGCATAGGTTTGAAATAGAGTTGGAGAGAAATTCTAGAGAAATTTCTTTCTGAAATAGATTTGTAGAGGAATTTTAAAATTTGATTTATTATTATGATGATTGTTATTATTATTACTATCACTATTATTATTATTGTAGAGAAATTTTAGAGAAATTTCTTTCTGAAATAGATTTGTAGAGAAATTTTAAAGTTTGATTTATTATTATGATGATCGTTATTATTATTACTATCACTATTATAATTATTGTCGTAGATAAATTTTAGAGAAATTTTAGAGAAAATTCTTCCTGAAATAGATTTGTAGAGGAATTTTTAAGTTTGATTTATTATTATGATGATTGTTATTATTGTTACTATCACTATTATTATTATTATAGAGAAATTTTAGAGAAATTTCTTTCTGAAATAGATTTGTAGAGAAATTTTAAAGTTTGATTTATTATTATTATTATTGTTATTATTATTACTATCACTATTATTATTATTGTCGTAGATAAATTTTAGAGAAATCGAAGAGAAATTTCTTCATGAAATAGATTTCTAGAGGAATTTTTAAGTTTGATTTATTATGATGATGATTGTTATTATTATTACTATCACTATTATTATTATTGTAGAGAAATTTTAGAGAAATTTCTTTCTGAAATAGATTTGTAGAGAAATTTTAAAGTTTGATTTATTATGATTATTGTTATTATTGTTACTATCACTATCACTATCACTATTATTATTATTGTTGTTATTGTTATTGGTATTGGTATTGGTATTGGTATTGGTATTATTATTTCAGAGAAATTGTGGAGAAATTTCTTCCTGAAATGGATTTTTAGAGGAATTTTAAAGTTTGATTTATTATTATGATTATTATTATTACTATTATTATTTATATATTATATAAAACCAATATATACTATATACTACATAATATATTGAGAAGGCTTTCATGTCTTCATACAATTTTACAACACAGAACTAACCAATATTTTATTCCTTGCACAAAACACTGATTTTGTCAGATTAAACTCTTTTTTAACCCAAAAATAGAACAACTAAGAAGCATTTTAAAAACTTTTAATCCATTTTCAGTCTCATGTGAAGGATGAGACAATACAGATATTATAATTCACACCATCACAGTCAAAAGTCAATTATTTCCTAATTACAAAACATTATAAGCATTTCTTAACCTATCAAGTTTTACTAAACTATACTATAAATACCTTAAAACCAACTATCTAAAATTACCCCTTGTAAGTTCTACTAGGATACATCTTTCATAGTTCTATTTCTCTAAAATATTTACAAAACTGTCTTTTAAAACTTATTTCTAATTCCATTTCTCTCTCAACAATATCTATCTTTTTCTGTAACATTTCTAAGCCAACATTTCTTACCTCAAAATTTATATGCAAATATATACTATATAATCCTTCTGTCAAACTTTAAGATTTCTCTACAAATCTATTTTCCACACCCAGGTGACAGCAAACAAAGACCATGTAGTCCCTCATGCCCAAAAATTGTATTTGTTTTGGTTTAAGGTAATTTTGAGAGAAAAATTTTTAAAGGTTTTTTTTTTTTTTTTTTTTTTTTTTTTTTAGAAAAGTAAATTTAAATGTTTTTGGTTTTTTAATTAGTTTGGGGAAAAGATTTTTTTGAGAAAAGTGGAAATTTTGTTTATTTAATAGGTAAAATATTGATTAGTATAAAAAATTTGTAACATTAAATAAGAAAAATGTTTGTTGTTTTAAATGAGATTATAAGAAAATTTTTAGTGGGTTGTAATTTGATTTATTTAGTTTTTTATTAGTCTTTTGGTGTTGGAAATGTTGTGGCTTAGGTTTTGGTGGTCTATAGGTGTGAGTTTTTGGTGCTTTTTTGGGTGTTTAGTTTAGAGTAGGTCTCAATGGGTTTAAGGAAAAGGAAAAAAACCCTATCGTTTAGGGAGTTTTTTTTTTTTGTTTTAGTTAGTTAAAAATAAATAAAATAAAGGAGAGTTTTGTTTTGTTGATTGTAGATAATATAGGAGTAGGAACGTGGAGGAGTGAGAGGTTCTGAAAATAACTGAGTCCTTTCCTCGCTCTGATGGCACATGAGGCCCTGATCCTTTTCCTGTCCTTTTCCTGTGCCTTTCCTGTCCCTGTCCCCTTCCTGTCTCTTTCCCATCCCTTTCCTGTACCTTTCCTGTCCTTATCCTCTTTCCTGTCCCTTTCCTGTCATTTTCCTATCACTTTCCTGTCCTTTTCCTGTCCCCTTCCTGTTCCTTTCCTGTCCCTTTCCTTTCTCTTTCCCGTCCCTTTCCTGTCCTTTTCCCGACTCTTTCCCGTCCCTTTCCTGTTCCTTCCCTGATTCTTTCCCGTCCCTTCCCTGACTCTTTCCTGTCCCTTTCCCATCCCTTCCCTGACTCTTTTCCTGTCCTTTTCCTGACTCTTTCCCATCCCTTTCCTCTCCCTTCCCTGACTCTTTCCTGTCCCTTTTCTGTCCCTTTCCCATCCCTTCCCCGACTCTTTCCCGTCCCTTTCCTGTCCCTTTCCCATCCCTTCCCTGACTCTTTCCTGTCCCTTTCCCATCCCTTTCCTCTCCCTTCCCTGACTCTTTCCCGTCCCTTTCCTCTCCCGTTCCTGACTCTTTCCCGTCCCTTTCCCATCCCTTCCCTGACTCTTTCCCGTCCCTTTCCCATCCCTTTCCTGACTCTTTCCCATCCCTTTCCTCTCCCTTTCCTGTCCCTTCCCTGATTCTTTCCCGTCCCCTTCCTCTCCCTTTCCCATCCGTTCCCTGACTCTTTCCCGTCCCTTTCCTCTCCCTTTCCTGACTCTTTCCCATCCCTTTCCCGTCCCTTTCCCGGTGCCCGGGCCAGCAGCGGATGCTGGCCATTGCCCCAGGGCAGCATCCAGCCCTCGGCAGTGCTGAGAGCCGGGCTGGCAGTGCCACCCCAGCCCAGCCCCTGCTCCGTGTGTGTGTGCTCAGGGCCCCAACCAGCCAAGGCCATCAAGCACCAAAAGCCACGTAGCTGCAGCACAGGTAAGAGCCAGGACGGTGATGAAAGGCCTTCCCTGCTGGAGGAGGGATTTTGAGTTTTTCCTGCCCCATTTTCCTGCGGAGAAGGGCGACTCTGCAAAGTGGGAGGGGAAGGGTGATGCTCGGATGTCACCCCATTAATGGCACTGCGGTGCTGCTCCCCCTGCGTTAATCTTCCCGTGGCGTCTTGCGAATGGTCAAAGGGACACAGGCAGGGCTGGTAATTAGTCAGCAGGCGGGGAAAGAGCAGTTTTAATTAGGCTCAGCCCAGCCCGGGCTGGGGAGGAGCGGGGCTGCTTCTGGGGTGATCTCCGTTGCAATGGGATTAGCGTTGGCCTTTGATGCTGGGAGAAAACACCAGCCTGCACCTCGGAGATCTTCCCCATCTCGGCATCTCCCCCCAGCCCTGCTTTGCTACTGCTGTGGTTTTAAAATGGTGGATTGCTTTTGCTTTGAATATTTGGGTGTCTGTGACAATTGTGACTGAGCGAGCGCTGGGGCTGAGCTGGTTAAAAACGAGACCAATTGGAGCGAAACGATTCCGTGAGAGCTGCGCTGAGCTGAGGCCGGAGCAAAAACTTGCACATAGCAGAGGGATGTGCACTCTTTGGGGAAGAAGCAGCAGGATTGGGGGGTTTATGTTCCTCTAACACCCCCACAGCGGTGAGGGTCAGTCCTGCTCTCCCATGGGTGGGGGAAATAAACTGGTTATTTGGCACAGCTGACAAATACAAGGGGCCCGTTGTGCTGGCACCTTCTCGGCTGCTGTGCCCTGTCCCGGTCGAATTGCTCCAGCTGGGGAGCCCACAGGTTGCAAAATGAGCGGGGTGAGTCCCTCTGCCCTGCTGAGCCGCCCTTCTCTCATCCCTGCAGCGCTGGGACAAGCCTGGCCCATTCCCCTGTCCCCTGCCATGCGGCTCTGGGGACATTGCCCATCTGGGCTTTGGCATCTCTCTCCAGCCTGGCAGGGCACGGGCACTGCTGGCAGCCACTCTCCCGAGGAGAAACTGCTGCTGCGTGCATCAGACATTTTTATGAAAGATTATGAAAGAACCGCCGTCTGCTGGAGGAAGAGGACGAGCTCATCTCGCTCACCTCATTTATATTTTAGCTCAGGCTACAGCAGCAGCCTCCAGAGATGGATGAAAGAGAAATCCCAGCTCAGCCCGGTGGCTAGCTCTGTTTGTACTTCATCCAACAAAAGTTAAACGCGTGCCCAGGTGGTTTGCTGTGATGGAGTGACCTCCCCGTGGCACAGCTGCGCATCCATGGAGCGTGAACAGCCCCAGGAAATCCTCACTCTGGGACCCGGGTGCCCTGCAGGCCCCAGGCTTTGGAAGAAATGCGATAAGAGCAGGGCAGAAGCAGACCTTGTCCATCATAAATGGCTTTGGGGCTGCAACCCCGGGGTCTGGGGCTGATTTTTAACACTCAATAAACAGCTCGTTTGCAGTAGTCAGCTCACGGAATGCAGGCTGCTTGCGAGCACCTCGGATGCTCTCCCGGCAGAAAATTAACCTTATCTGTCAGCAAGCGCGGCTCCCTGAGCTGTGCTGAGCATCAGATCTCAATCAAACCCTGCAAGCCGTGGCAAGGATCTTTGTGGAGCTGTCCCAGCTTCCCAGCCCTGCTCAGAGCTGCGTTCCAGCCGCTGCCATATTGACAGCAGAGCGCTGCCGAGAGCTGGGAGGGCTCCAGGGCTGCACAGAGCAGCTCTGTGTCAGCTCCGATCCCTTCTGCCTCCCTGCTCCGCGCTCAGCATCCTCCCCGGCTCCTTTCCGCGGAGCTGCTGCTGGGCACCCAGCGCGTTTCCTCGGGGAGCAATTAGGAAATTGTAATAAAGTGCTTTAAAGGGGAAATTCTTCCCTTTGATTCCTGCCTGCCCTTCTCAGCCTGGAGCTTCCTGCCCTGCTTTGCTGTTGGTTTTGTGTCCTGCCTGCCCGGAGGAATTGGGGAGGGAGCAGGGGAAGCATCTGTTCTGCTGCAGCAAGCACCGAGCCCAGGAGCCACGAGCATGGCCAGGAGACGCTTTTGTCATTGACACAGGGGACAATTGAAATAGCTGCCGTGCTCTCGAGCTAAGCCACAGACACATCTGCGGATCTCACTTTATGTAACTCGTTTTTATTTTTACTTTTGAACGTACGCTTTCATTTTCAAGGGGAGTTTGGCTCAGTGGGTGTCTCCCATCTCCTGCCCTGCCTTGTAGAGCATATGTGAGGTGGCTGCTTGGTTTCCTCATCTGTCCCTGAAACTCTGGCTCTCCTTGTTTCACCTTTTAGGATTTCTTCCCTGCCAGGCCTGACGTGGAGAATGATTGGAGATTTAAGATGAATAGATAAATCAACTCCTTAAAAACATTCATCTGTGGACATTTCCTGCTCTCCACATTACCTGAGTTTTTTTGTTTGTTTGTTTGTTGGTTTTTTAAGAACAGGTTCTATTTGCAATTAAGATAAGTGTGTGGTTTGTTTTGTAGTTTAGCAAGTGATCTACACCAGTCATAATTCCTTCCTTCCAAGGCAGACACCTTGTGCTTTCAGACAAGACAGCAGGGCAGCCTGGCACAGTGAGCAGAGTTGGATGCAAGTTCCAAGAAATTTCCTTCCAGGTTTAATTGCAAACGGTGGTGGAGAAGAGCAATCTCTGGAGAGTGATTAATTAATTAGTAATCTGAATTCCCTTGGAGTTGGGCCCACATCAGTGCCACTCTGGAGTCTGGATAAATTTGGAATGACTATGAAGGAGAGCAAATGACATTTTGCTCCTTTGAGTAGTCCAGCAAAAGCCCAAATCCCCCCTGGGTTACAGCAGTGTGGCCACAGGTTTGTGACTGAGCCTAAGGCAGCTCACCTGCATTCCCAGAGCCTGGACTAGTGTGGGAGACAGCCAACCCCCTGTGATTGACATTTTGCAGCCACAGAGCCCACACAAAATCCCAGAAGGGTCTGGATTGGAAGGAACCTTAATGCTCATCTAGTTCCAGCCTCCTGCCATGGGCAGGGGCACCTTCCCGTGGCTGCTGAGCATCCTCTGAGATCTCAGAGGCAGCAGGGTCTCATGAAAACTCACCAGGGAATGACTTCACCTCCAGGGATGTAGCTGCCCAGCACCACAGCAAAGTGAAGAAGTGCTTTTCTTGGCAGGAGGGAAAATCCTCTTGGACCAAGAGGTTGTGAAAGCTTGAACGAGGCCCTTGGAGCACAGCAGCAACCAGGAGAGATGCTGCCAAACACCCAAGAAAAAGCACGAAGTAAAAGCAACTGAAGCTGGTGGAGCTTCAGTTGGTTTTGGTCTGGATGAGTTTTTTTTGGATAAAACCCATTTCAGTAATCAAAACACCTGGAATAGGCAGGGAGGCTTTGAAAATGAAAAGGACCCTGGAGAGGGAGATCAGTGTGTAGGGAAGAGGCTGCAAATTCCCCTCTGCCCTTCCACGGTGACAGGCAGCACTCCCAACGCTGCACGTGTTCACTGCGGGCGTGTTTGCTGCCGCCAGGTTAGGAGGAAATTGCTTTAGAGTAATTTTTTGAGAGATTTACATTTTTTTATGGGATTCAAACCTAATATCAAAATGAGTTATTTTATTAAAAGCATTTAAATAGAAACTAAAGAGTGGTCAGAAGCAGGGGGGCTGTTTTAGAAGGAATTTACTATAAACCTACTGCACAGAGGCTTTCTAAAATATTACCCTGTAAAAACCCCATAATTCTCTTTATCTGCAATTTAATTACATTTCCCGTAGTGCCTGTGTCAGAACAGTTCACTTATTCTTGTTCTCTATTAACTCACACCTGCCTCAGGAAACTAGAAGGAAAAATTGTTGGCAATCGAAGTAATTTGGGTGTTATTCAGGATCTCACGGAGCTCACAAAAAGGGCCTAATGAGGTACTGGAGAAGTGGGAATTGAGGTTCTCATGGCTGTGAGATGACAACATCTAAAAATATATATTTATATAAATATATAAAACAGATATATATTTATATAAATGTATAAAACAGATATTTACATAAAGAGACTACACATGTATTTATATAATTATAATTATAATTATATTTATATACATATACAAATATATAAATTACGTAAATAAACATAACATGTTGATATACATTATATAAAAATATAAAATAAATATATATACATGTGATATTTTTATATAAAAATATATAAAAGCAGAGGGAGAAGTGGGAGCACTCTCATGATCCAGAGATTTGTCCCACCCAGTGTTGGTGGACCAGAGCCTGATCTTTTTGGGACTGCAGCAAAGTCTCAGAGAATCTGAGAAATGGAGCAGAATCACTCCGAGCTGTGTGGATTGAACATTTTAGTGACCTCCTCCAGCCCACAATGTGTGTGTGGGTGAGCTGAGGGATGTCCTGGGTCTGTTATGAAAACCTTGCAGTGCCCAGAGGGAACCTAGAGCCATGGAAATGATGGATTAAACCAAACACAACACGCTAGAAGTTAAATTTGGCTTAGGTTTTGGGGCAAGGCCTGCAGCTGACTGTTATTTAACTTGGACAAACCAGCCTGTGGTAGGAGAGGCAGAGGATGAACCTCAACCTTTGACTGTGCTTTAGAGATTTCACTGGCCAGGGCATTTTTGCAGTGCTTGTCTTCTGCTAACTGGAGAAGTGATTAACCCCAGCCAGGACGACCTGGGCTTTGCCGGGGGAGGATGAGAACAAGGCAAATATCTCCATGCCAGCCAGGCAGTGAAGGAGGGGATGGGTCCAGGCTGATGGAGAGCCCGGATCTTTGCTGCACTGCTGCTAATCCCTGTGTTTTTCTAGGAGGGTTTGCATCCCCAGGGATGGGGCCTGGTGATAATGTGCTATCTCAAGGCATGTTTCCTGCTCATAGCACCAGGGTGCCAGGGCCAGCAGTGTTTTAGCAGACAGGAAGGTGACTACAAGTTTCCAGGGAAAAGGCAATGACTTGTTAAACTGCAGAGGACTTTTTTATTATGAATTCTTTTTACTTGATTATATATTTTATTATAAAGTATTCTATTTTATTATCAATTCTTCTTCTTTCTGGTTTTCTGTTTGTTTTAGTCAATCAGCTTTGTCAGGATCCAAAACAAAAGCAATGGAAATCCCATGGCTTGAGCTCTCAGTGAGGGTGTGTGACACCGGGTGCAGTCACTGCTGGCTGTGCTGAGCCCACAGCATGGCACACTTGGTGCCATGGGTGAGGTTGTTACAGTCACCGTGGTGCCCTGGCCACCCCACACAAGTTCTCTGGTGGGCGCAGGAGGAAAAAAGGGGGATTGCAGCCCATCCTCTGGGGTGAGAGCACCGAGGGAGCCTGCAGGCATGTCCAGCCCCCGGTGGGTTCAGGCTGTCTGCCACACCCGTGCCCAGCAATGAGATCCTCCTTTGCTTTGTGCCAAAATCTCCCTTGGCCCTGCTGACACCTGAGCTCTTCAGTGAAACTCCCCCATCCCTCCTGTCTGTGGCAAATGAGCGATCTGGGGACAGCAACCCTCCCTAAAGCTTTATCCTGGCAGGCATCCCCCCGATCCTCCCCGGCAGCCTTTGGCATCCCTCCGCGGTCCTCCGGGCCTCGAGGGGAGAGGCTGCGCTGCTGCTGCCCGGTGGGTGAGGCTGGGAGGCGCTGGGAAGCGCTGGGATGAGCTGGGATGTGCTGGGATGAGCTGGGATGTGCTGGGATGAGCTGGGATGCGCTGGGGTGAGCTGGGATGTGCTGGGATGAGCTGGGATGCGCTGGGATGCGCTGGGATGTGCTGGGATGAGCTGGGATGCGCTGGGATGTGCTGGGAAGCGCTGGGATGTGCTGGGATGTGCTGGGATGTGCTGGGATGAGCTGGGATGCGCTGGGATGTGCTGGGAAGCGCTGGGGTGTGCTGGGATGTGCTGGGATGTGCTGGGATGAGCTGGGATGTGCTGGGGTGAGCTGGGATGCGCTGGGGTGTGCTGGGAAGCGCTGGGATGAGGGGGAGGCGCTGGGCTCCTGAGCAGAGCCGGCGCTGAGCGCTCGCAGCCCGCTGCGCAGCCGGGCTGGGGCTGATGCGAGAGCGGCTCTGAGCTGCGCTGCTGCCGCCCGCGGAGAGCTGCGATGGGGAGGGTGCGGAGCGGTGCGGAGCTGGGATGGGGAGGGTGCGGAGCTGGCAGGGGAGGGTGCGGAGCTGGGATGGGGAGGGGTGCGGAGCTGGGATGGGGAGGGTGAGGAGCTGGCAGGGGAGGGTGCGGAGCTGGGATGGGGAGGGGTGCGGAGCTGGGATGGGGAGGGTGCGGAGCTGGGATGGGGAGGGTGAGGAGCTGGGATGGGGAGGGGTGCAGAGCTGGCAGGGGAGGGTGCGGAGCTGGCAGGGGAGGGGTGCCGAGCTGGCAGGGGAGGGGTGCGGAGCTGAGCTGTCAGCCCGAGCAGGGGGCTGGCTCTGAAGAAGCTTGCTCTGCTCTCTCCCCAGAGCCTCTCTGAGCACGCTGTCGGCACAGACCCACCGGCAGAGAGGACAGGTCAAAGGCAGTGAGTATCTTTCTCTCGGTGTCTGTCTGTCTGCAGTGCCTCCGTGCTCGGTTTTATTTATTTATTTATTTATTTATTCTGTATGTGAATGGATGGTTTTGATCTCCTGAAGCCCCTGAGAGATCTCATGGTTTGCTGTTCTGTTTATTTGTTTGGTTGGTTTTTTAACCTTTGTGCTGCTGGTTTTTTTTTTTTTGTTTGTTTGTTTGTTTGTATTGGGATGGCTTCTTTATCTCTGCCCAGGTGGTTTGATAACCTGAACGTCCTACTCACAGCCCTCCCTTGCTGTCTGTCAAGGAGAAACCCCCAAAACTCATCCATGATGAGGCTGGTAGTTCTCCTTGACCAGGTTCCTTCCATGGGAGGGGAAGGCAGGATGAAGGGTGGAGCAGGGCAGGCAAAACCTCTCACCAAGACCTTTATTGCAATTTACCAGACACGACAGATTACATTTTAAAGTCACAACTGACTGGATTTATTTGCAAACAGAGGCAACATCCACGGGTATCCACGAGCAGCAGGATTGCCTCCACGGGGTCCCAGCACCCCTGAAGTCAGACAGACTTTGGGGTCTCAGGGAAGTTGGGTGCTGCTCAGCGGTGCAGCTGTGGGGGCTGAGTGGGTGGCAGTGGGGGCGAGCTGAAGGCTCTTTCATAACAGTACCCCAAAATTCAGGCTGCTGGAGGAGGCTGCAAAGGAGAGAGGGCAGATGGCTCCGCTGCCAGCTCGGAGCAGCAGTGGGAAAGAGAAGCAGGAGCTGCTGCACTCTAGGAAGTCATGTGCTGTGGCCCCACATGGGGGTGAGGCTGTTAATGAGGAAATTTAGAGGGGTTTAAGGAATTACAAGGATTGATTTCAGTCAGAGAAGCAGCCGGTCGGGGCGAGGATTAAGGAAATGCACTCACTGGCAATGCAGTGCAATCCCAGCTCCATTAATTTAGTGGGGAAGAGGCTTTGTGCGTTTTTAATGTAATCAGGTTTTAAGAGGGATGGTGCACTGGGCAGCCCAAGCTCCAGGGTCTCCCCAGGCCCCACCAGAGTAGGGTCCTGGCTCCTTGAACACCCTCTCAGCTCTCATCAGCTCCTTGGGCTCCTCCTCGGCTGGTCCCAGTGACACTGTGACATGGAGGGTACCTGGAGCTTGGCAAAGCAGAAACCTTTGCCTTTGCTCCTTGTAGAGTCCTGTTCTCTGTCCCCTGGCTCTCCTGCCTGCTGAATCTCACCTTCACTCTCTGTTGATGTGAGAGTCGTCAACCAGTTGATCCCCAGTGTGCCAAGGCTCACAAGGAACCCACCAAACCCACCATCTCCAGTCTCCCTCTCTCTCCTTCCCTCCCCTTTTGCAGGCTGTGCATCTCCTTGGTGGCTCCCCTCAGGCTCCCACCACCCCAGCGAGGCCCTGCTTGCTTTGAGTCATTTTTGTGTGAGTGCTTGAGCCCGTGCTGGTGAAAGGAGCAGCAGCTGCAGATGTGTGAAGTCCTCCTGTTGTTCTGTTTGCAGCACCAGCTTTTCCCTGATGCCTGGCCAGTAACATCAGCCATGACCCGGAGGGACAGGCACAAGAGGTAGTTTGGTCTTCTTAGCGAGGTCAGCCCAGAGCTCTGCCCCTTGAGGAGAGACCTTCGGAGGTGCTGAAGGATGAGTGGGATAATGCCAACTCCTGCTGCTCCCTGCTGAGCTGGGACACCAAACTCAAACCGCTTTAGACCTGAAGCTGGACTTTACCTGCAGTCCTGGTCTTAGAAGGAAATGCTGTCTCTCCTCTGTGGCCATCCCTCAGCTCTCAACGTCTTCCATTGAACAATTGACTTTCCACTCTAGGAGGCAAGGAGCAAATGGGTTGAGGACAACTGACCCTTCTTGGCTTTGGCAAAGAGGATCCTTTGGTGCATTTTTAAGTGCCAGGACATGAAACAGTAAATCCCTTCTTCCTGCACTCCTGCCTCCTGCGAGCAGCCCTGACTGCGGTCCAAGCCAGCCAGTTAAAGGGTTAACCATAGCTGGATGCCTGCATGGCTGCCTTACTGATCCCACGGAGGTAACTGGAAAGAACACGGTGCATCCCCCAACCCTGCCATCCTGTCACTGTCTGCCTCGTCCAGCAAGCCCTTCTGCCCACTGCAGTGTCCCCTCCTGCCCTTCCCTTGCCTCTCCACCTCCTGCAGACCCAATTTATTTCCCCCCCTCTCTCCCCTGTGCCCTGTCTCGGAGGTCCTCACCAAGAGAAGTGTGTTCCATGAGGAAACAACTCCCTGCTCTGCCCCCTCTGCTCTGATTCCCTGCTGCAGTCCCTTGATCTCAGGCATCACAGGGGAATGTGAGCAGCGCTGCGGTGACGCCTGTCACACCTCTTGCTGGGAAATTCGTGAGCAAACAGAGCAGGGCACAGCAAGGTGGGGGGTAGGAGGCATCTGGAGAGGTACCAGAAGGATCCTGTAGTGGGTTTGGTGTCCACTGGAGCGCAGCTGGGAATGTGGCACTCCCTGTGCTCTCACCTGGAGTTCGTGCAGTGCCCACGGCCGTGGGGCCGTAGTTGGAGGCTGTGCAACAATTCCTGTGACTGAGGAGTTCCTGGGTTTTGTGCTTGTTAAACGCCGTGAGCTGCCTGTGCTGCACCAGGGAGACACTCGGTGCATTTAATTAACATTTAATTTGCTTTAAGATTACATTAAAATGTGCAATAATAGAAGCTCTCTGAAGGGCGGGAGGAGAAGGGGGAAACAGGCACGCTACAGATTGGCTCAGGCACTGCTGCTGAAGTGTTCTGCAAGAATTACAGATGGAAGGGGAAAAAACGCTGTACTTGTGCAGCCATGGAAAGTATTGGGCATCTGGCTGGGAGCAGGGCTGGGAGAAGGGCTTTCAACAGCTCCAAAGTAGGTCCAGCAGCTGGGAAGTGAAGATGGGGTCGCTGAGTGCTGCTGCCATGGTCCAGAGGAGAAAATGGCCCAGTTTGATGTCCCGGGAATCTCCAAGAGGAGACACCCCAGGGTTGGAGAGGCAGATCACAGAGCCCATGCAAACCCATGAGGCAGCCCCACGTATTTTTGGGGAGATGGTGATGCCAGTGCCGTGCAATGCACGCGTGTGCTCCCTTCCCTTGTCCCTCTGTGCCTGCCCAGCCCGGGTTATGTAATGAAGGATGCTGCGGCTGCTGGCCCGGGAAGGGGCTGGGCAAGGACACCAGGGGCTGGCATGGGATCGAAGGCTCTAGGGCTGGGTTGAAATTTAGAGGAAAAAAAGCTATAAAGCCATTTTCTGCCTGGGTAAGCGTGTCAGGAAACAGGCAGTTTGATCCTGCTTATGTAATCCTGAGTCTAAAGAAGCCGCTCGGGATCGATCCTGGCTGGGAACTCACGGTGCTGCAGCACAGGCTCACCTTGCAGGTGCCTTACTACCCCTCTCCTTCCTCCAGCCCTCTCTTGCCCTCCACCTCTGGTATTTGTGCTCTTTCTGATGCTGCTGGAACGTGGTGACCGATTTCTTGTACAGCTGCCCATTGCTCTCCTCCCACACCTGACCAGAGCAGGACTTTCCAAGAAACCATCCCAAAGCTCAGCCTTTCAAAGCCTTTCTTCCAGCTAAGGCAGCTGAATGCCTGGTGTGAGTGAGCCTTCAGCTGCTCTGGTGCTGTGTTCACCCTTAACATCAGCCTGGAGATGTCCCAGGGTCCCTCTCACACAAGAGGGAACCAAGGACACAGATCTGGCACGAAGCCGCTGAGGTTTTTTGGGGTTTTTTTGGGGGTTTGTTCTTTTTCTTTTGCCAAGCTGGCTAGACTTATAATCATCCTGTTCTCTGGTTTTCCCCTGCTAACACCCCTGCTTCCCCACCTCGACCACAGGAACAGAGGGATGAGGACTCGCCTGGGCTGCCTGTCTCACAAATCAGACTCATATAATGATTTCACAGCTATTCTTCCGGACAAGCCCAACCGGGCTTTGAAGTGAGTATAGCTGCAGCATCCCACCCCAACCCCACTGCTGCCCTTCCCTTCCCTTCCCCTCCCCATCCACCACCCCCCCTCCAGTTTTGTCTTCCTTTTGTTGTACTTTGTGTGAGCTGAGACTGCTTCCACCAGGAAAACAAACCAGCACTGATCCAGCAGGAACAGCCTCGGGAAATTCCTGGATCTTTGGCACGAGCTCTGCCGTGAGACAGGACATGCTCACAGTCCCCACTGCTGTGTGTGGGACACGTCTGCACCTATTTGGGGATGTAATTTACACCTCTGTCATCACAGATCAAAGCCTGAGCAGTTCGCTTGGTGTAAGAGGTGACCAGAAATTTCATGTCATCTTCAGCTCAGCCTTGTATTTAACACTGCCAAAATGCAGGTGATGGTTTGCAAAATGCTGGAGGGAGATGCTTCAAACCCTCCAGAGTCCTGATTTGAGAAGTGTGGGATGGGACTCATCTGATCACAAGTCCCTGCTCACACCTGAGATAAGATCTGTCCTTCCCCTGAAAGGCAAGCAAGAGAAATAAACACTTCTACAGGCTGAGTGTCATTTCACCTGACTTTTGGCTTTTACAATGTAAATGTCTGCATCTGAGCTTGTTTCCCGGGCCTCTGCTTAGAGTCAATGAGGAAAAATTGGTGCCTTTTTGGGTATGATTCATCTGGCCTATTTTACCTGCCTGCCTGGGGATGTGAGCTGAGCAGACTCCCTGCGGGTCCCTTGGTATCTCTTCACTGATTCTAAAGGAAGCCCAGGGTCACTTGGCTCAGTTCTACACCCTAGACCTCCAAAATCAGGTGAGAGGAATTCCAGCCTTCCTCGGTGTCCTCACCAAACAGCTCCAGAGGGGATGAGCAGCTGTGGGTTGTCCATAACTTGCCCTTTCCTTTCCTTACAGAAGACTGTCAACAGAAGAAGCTACAAGATGGGCAGACTCTTTTGATGTCCTTTTGTCCCATAAATGTGAGTAGAGATCAAATTCTACCTTTTTTTCCCCCTCCTCTTCCCTTGACCCCTGTCCAGGGGCGTGGTCCCTCAGAGCTGCTCATCCCCAGCAGCCACCATCCTTTACAGGCAGGAAAAAAAATGGGTTTTGTGTGTTCCCTTCACATCCTTGCTCCTGACCACCAGGAAAACCACAACTGCTAAAGCCATCAGCCCAAGGTGCTGCCTTTTCCAGCTCAGTACCCTTAACCAGCTTGCCCTGTCACAGAGGAATCCCCCTTGGTCCCCCTGAGCAGAGACTGATCTGCAGTTATCCCAGCAAACCCCAAAATTTCACATCCAGAGACCTTATGCCAACCTATAATCAGCAACCCCTGCTCTGTTCAATCTTATGAGTTCTGTTCTGCAAATATTTCTCTGCTTCAGCAGCATTTTCACACTGAGAAATTATAAACAAAGCAAAGTTCCCAGTATGGGTTCATTAATGGGCTTTTTTGGAGGAAAAAACCCAAATGAATTGAGGTTGGGGAAAAGTCACCGTGGGTGCTCAACTCTTTCATGGCAATAAGGAGATGTCTGGCTTTCTTAGAGACTCAGGTTTTCCTTACATTTTAAAATGTAAGTGTAAATTATGTTATTAAGCTAATTTTAAGGTAATTTTGCTAGGTTTATACTGAGATGACAACAGTTTTGGCAGGAAATTAAGTGACAACTTTAAACAGGCTGGCTGACCAAGGCAGGAAAAGCAGGATGTAATTTTAGCAGCAGTATCTAGTTGAGATCATTGCTCTTGCAGCCAATAGGGGAAAAAATATATGGTGTAGCTGGGTATGGCTAAAAAGGAACATTTCTTTTGTGGAAATTCAGAAAAAGAAGGAAAGCACACCAAGGAGATTATAGGGTACCTGGGGAATGGAGAAAGGGGAGGGCAGGATTTTCACACCCCTGTTATCATCCTGAACTCAAACCCATTTCTCCTTCACTGGTGTAAAAGTAGAAATTTTCTTCATTAGAGTGCAGAAGAAGAGCTTGGATTACAAACCCCAGCGAATTTACCCACCTGTGTCCTGATGTTATACAGATTCTTCCCTCTTCAGCTGGCTATTGCAAAAATGCAAAATCAAACATTAGTTCAATTATTTCGTCCAGCAGCCTCCACAAGGGTGTCTGGTTTTATTAATAAATTAGTCTTGTACAGTGATAAATGAATTATCAAGACTTATCCCATCTCTTAGAATGGAAAGTAATTCTGATAAGTCTCCGGCACTAATGAAAAATATTCAGTTTCTAATGAAAAATATTCAGTTCCTAATGGCAACAGAAGGTGATCTTTAAAATTTAAATTAATCTATTTTTATCAGCAATCACGGTGACATTGCCTGGTGATTGGTGACAAAAAATTTGTTGTTTAATAAACTACTTTCTAAAGGAATATTTTATAACTGTTCTGCACCTGAAGTTTCTGGAATTGCCAACCTGGCAGTCAAGGGTTATAATGATGCAAATCCAAAAAGTTCTGTTGAAACAGAAGTGTTATTTTAGTTACACTGATTTAAAGGAGAGAACAGCACATACTCATAGAATTAATTATATTGTACAAGTTGCATTTTTGCTGTTAGGATGTGCTGATGTTACACAGGTAAGAGAACCTTATGCCTTAACTGGCCAAAATCTGGGATTAAATAAAGCTGTGCCTGGCCTGCTGGCATCTGTCTGTGAGGGAAGCTGCCAGCAAAAATCCTGCTTTTAGTGCCAAGAAGAGGACAGAACTGTCCCAGTCTAATTTCCCAGTGACTGCTCAGGTGAACAGCATTAGCCAGGGAAAATTGGAATTCATGCTTGGGGGCATGGGCTAAGCACCAGCTGGGCTTAAGGAGAATTCCCCCCAGGGCTCACAGCATCAGCAGGTAGAGCACTTCTGCTTGACACATCTGTCAGAAACTGTCTTCACTAGATGGACAGTTCATTTATTTTGGGAAGGAGATTGTGATTTCGAGGGGTTGTGTGGTGCTTTCTGCTGCAGTCAGACCGATTCGGTGCCTCGCAGCCAAACTGTTCTCCGGGGAAAACAAAGCCCAAAGTGCTGGAGCAGGACTCAGGAGCTGATGGAGCAGCTGAAAATGGGGCAGACCTTGTGGGCAATATTGCCAGGGGTTGGACAAGTGGCAAAATTGCTCCAAGGAGCCAGAAGGAGGATCAGAGCTCCCTAAGAGGTCTCCAAAGTGCCCTGCTGAGCAGGCTGCCCTCATACATGGAGCAGGCTCACAGGGCTGCAGTACTTTGGGAGATGGGAAAAACACTTCCTCCCCTTCCTATTTTCACGAGTTCTCCAAAAGGTTTCTAAATGGAAGCGATGTGAGGAGTGTCACTCATTGCACAGATTCCACGGAGAGTCCATGGGGATTTGAGCCACCCGCTCTAGTGAGAGGTGTCCCTGCTCCCCCATGGCAGAGGGGTTGGAATGAGATGATTTTTAAGGTCTCTTCCAGCCCAAACCATTCTGTGATTGCATTATCACCTTTGTCAGACATCCCTTGAAGTGTGATGGCCCTGGGGAGCCCCCTGATCTCCCCTCACCCTTCTGAAGAAGGAATGACTGTGCAGGTAATGTTTGCTGCCCTTGTGAGAGGAGGATTGAAATCCCTTGGGATTTGAAGCAGTTGTTGTCTCTTGGGTGATCCCCAGGCTGGATAATGCCCCCTTGCATAGAGTGGTCTGATTTGGATTTATTCCCCGAGCCATTCAAAGGATAATTTGAGTTGACAAGTTATTAGAGTTAACAAGAGACTGTGAGTAGGAAATGCGGGAGGGCTCTCCCCACCTCCCTTTTGTGCTGGCCCTGGGACTCAATTCCCTCATCCCTCCTGGAGTGAGCAGTGCTGAGCAGCAGGATGCAGCAACTCCACATCCGTAGGTCAGTGCAATGATATCCTAATTGTTTGTGTTAATGGGCAGGGCAAATCAACTTAGAAACCCTGGGCTCGGGCAGACAATCCCTGTTTTACAACAGGAGCCTGTCTGGTGTTCCCTGGGCTCAGGGCTTCTGAGCAAGCAACAGGAGTGGGAGCCTGATGCTGCTTTTGTCAGAGAATTGACAGAGTAAGAGGCAGACCCGTCTGCAGCATTTTTGGGTGCCCAGGGAGAAAAAGCAATGGTTTTAACACGCTGGATTTTGGCAACTTTTCCCATTTTGTGCCAGGGAGGCAAGCTCAGCATGGTCCCCAGAGTGTGAGTGCATGCTTGTGAGTAACTGAGGAATAATCCTCTCCCTGTGCCCGTGCCCAGGAGGCTGGCCAGATGAGGATTTCTTTTGACAGCCTGCTGGAGGGAAATACAAGCCACAGCATGTCTCATTCTGCGTCCCCCACGGGGCCGGACACAGGGATTTTTGTTCCTCTAGCATCCAGCAGGACAGTCTGTCCTCAACCCATGGTAAACTTCTCACCCAACCCCAAAAACAGTCATCCTGCATTCCCATTTTTATCTCAAGGGTGATTTTTCTCCAGCATTTTTGCAATCTGGAGGAAAAGGTGATTTTTCTCTGGTTTTTTTTGTGATCTCCGTGCTCTTCCTCCCAAACTTTTATTGTTGTTCTCCTCCTTCTGTTGTCTACACATTCCTTCACTTCCTACACAGCACAGGAATATCCCAACCTACTTCCAGCTCTTTCTAAGCCAGAAGAGCATTAGCATTGTGGTGCTGACAGGCAGCTGAGATGAAGGGAAGCACTGCTCAGCAGCACTGAGAGCACATCCATGTGCTGTGCAATTGTGACCTTGTCCCTCCAGCCCTGGACCCAACACATTCCAGGGAGCCAATCCATCCATCCCCCAGCCACAGGGACTGCACCTTTACTCCCTGCATGAACTTTGGTTGCTGAGGGGGTGAAACATGTGCATTAAATAAATGATGGGTGATTGCTTTCTTGCTCTTACAGCGGCAGGTGCTTGGTTATTAAACTGCCTGAATGATTTAGGCCACTAATCTGAGCTCTTCCTCATGCTGATAAAGCTTAGCTAAGACCTGTCTTGTGTTTTCTGCTCCCCACCTCAGTCTCTCCTGGCTGGGTAGGATCCACTTTCCATCTCCTGAATGGGATTTCAGGAGTCCCTGTCTTCACATGCCCTGCCTGGCACTGCCTAACTCACAGATGATCTGCACTATGGGGATTCTTGAAGGAGTTTTTGAAGACAGGATCTCTGAGTTTTTTAGATTATGTGATTTATTTTTCTTATCTTCTGCACAGGCAGGAAGGGTGAGTTTGGCTCACATCTTCACTGCATGGTTCAGAAGGCCACAAGACCTTTTAAGGATTTACTGACCAATAAAACACTGCCAACAAGGGTATTTATGTTTTTGACCCAATACTTAAATATTTTGTTTTATGGACTCATACTACAGTGTAAGCTTTCTTAGCCAATTATGTTATGGCACACAAACATACAGTACTGCATTTTAAGCTTCTTGTTTACCTTTGTAAGTACTTTTGTTCTTTCCATATCTTAAACTGTAAAACTCTAAACTTTCCTCTTCTTAATGTGTCTCTGCTTTAAACTATAAATCCACATTCTCACATCTAGCACCTGAGTTTGGAAGCCTTTCCCAAGGTCTCAGATCAAATCCTGTGTTTAATTCTAAGCTTTGGCTTACAGGCCCAAAGTTCTGAGGATTCCCTGCATTTCAGATTCCAACACTGCAGGATCCTGAGTAATGACTGAGCACTTGCACAATCCCTTCTGCACGTTCCTCAGTCAGTCTGAATGGAGAGCAGGGCATTTTGAAGCTTAGATTTATACTGCAAAAGTAAAATATCAAATGTCTGCTGCTTCTCCCTCAGACTCTCAACACCCAGTAAAGAGCTCTGCTTCTTTGCCTTCAACTTATCTGCTCCACCAGGATCAATTTCCTCCTTTGGCTTCAAGCAAAGGACTCTTGAGGCAAATTCCTGAATAATTGTCCAGTAGTTGTCCTGAAGGGCAGTGCAGCTACAGCAGAATATCCTGTCCTCCTGAGTGGCCATGCCTATGGGACTCAGGTTAGGGATTATTTTATGCTGTTGCTTCTGCAGACTTCTGATCCTGCTTTTAATTTCTGTGCTTTCTCCATAAAGCATCCCTCTGGAATTGCACGCTGGGACATTTCAGGAGGTGAAATCCCTCTCCTGCTTGTATCACACTGCACTCCAGTGGTGGTTGTCCTGGGAAAAGAGATGTCCAGTTGTCCAATTAATTAGAAAGTTAAAAGTTGTCAGTTAATTTCTGTGCTTTCTCTGTAAAGCATCCCTCTGGAACTGCACGCTGGGATATTTCAGGAGGTGAAATCTCTCTCCTGCTCATATCACACTGCACTCCAGTGGTGGTTGTCCTGGTAAAAAAGATGTCCAGTTGGGTGGGATGAGCTTTGAAATGCTGATCATTCATGAGTGATCATTCCTTGAAAGCCTTCATGTGCTATGAAGGAGAGGAGGAGATTGAAGTCAATATCCAGGTCACATCCCAGCTCAGGTGGTGGCAGCTCCCACGCCTAATTGTCCTCCTGCCCTTTCAATCAGACTTGTCATTGTTCCATGACAAACTTTGGGCAGTGATTCCCCAAACCTGGCTGTCAGGCACAGCTGGAAAGACTGCAGGCAGTCAAGGGTTAAAGATGAAAATTATGGAAAACCAGGCAGTCAGGGCTGATCTCTCCTGCACCCAAAGTGTCCCAGGCAAAGTCCTCACAGGTTCAGCCTCACCATCTGCAGCTCCTCGAAGGCTGTGAGGGCTGCATGACAGGAGTGTATCAAAAAAGCAGAGAACAGCCAGACACTATTATTTATCTATTCACTGTCTAAACTTATTTCAGGATCAAAAGGAGCTGATTGACATTAGAGCAGGAGGCAGAACTCATGGAAACCTCCTGGTCCCAGGGGAACCTGCTGCAGCTGCTCTCTGGGGCAGGGCTGTAGCAAATGCCTTTCTCTCCTTGTCACTCACAACATTCCCTTCTTTTAGCAGTTATTACATTTCTCAGGTATTTTATTTCTCAGGCATTTTATTTGTCAGGTATTATATTTTTCAGATGTGATATTTTTCATATATTATATTTTTCAGATATGATATTTTTCAGGTATTTTATTTCTCAGGTATTATATTTTTCAGATATGATATTTTTCAGGTATTATATTTCTCAGGTATTATGCTTTCCAGATATGATATTTTCTGGGTATTTTATTTTTTAGACATTTTATTTCTAAGGTATTTCATTTCTCAGGTATTATATTTTCAGGCAATTCGTTTCTCAGGTATTTTATTTCTCAGGTATTATATTTTTCAGATATTATATTTTACAGGTATTTTATTTTTCAGGTATTTTGTTTCTCAGGTATCCTATCTTTCAGATCTCATATTCTGCATCAATGACCTTTAGCAGATGTGGTACTTTCATGCAACACTGCTATTTCTGCAAGTGATCCTCTGTCAGTGCTGCAGCTCTGGGGCTGTTGTAGAGGAAAAGGAGGGAAAAAAAAAGACCAGGGTATAGGGGAGCAAGACCTCAGCAGGAACACTGCAGAGACACAGCAGTGTGCTTGGTGTTGGAATATTTAACGTCAAGCATCCTAGGAGCTGATGATAGATAAAATGACATAGATCTCGAGGGACTGGAACCTTCTCCCTGTTTTATTTCCTTATTTATGAAAGCTACCAGCATGCAAAGACTCCTTGCTCTGTTCTCCAGTCCTTCCCTTGTTCTCACAGGCCCTGTAAATTTTAGAGGCACTAAGGGGAACACAGGTTTTGGAAAATGTTTCTGTGTCCAGATTTCAGGAAGGGGAGCAGCTCTACAACATCCCTCACCTGCACCATATTTCCCTACCCACAGAGATGCTCCAAGCAGCCACGGGCAGGGTGATCTTGGCAGGTGTCTGCTCCTTTGGCATTCTTCTCTGGGGCTGATATCACAATATTGTCCCTGCTTGGACCCACAACTTGCAGTGTTGTTGGATGGAGCCTTGTTTTCTTGTCTACCCTAGCAGTGCAAAACCCCAATCTCCTTCTAAAACTGCTTGAAGGAAGAAGTGTCAGGATGAGCTGGAATAATGCAGCTATTTCTGGGGCTGACAGCAGGAGGGAGCACGGCTGAGATGGGATGGATCCATTTTTATGCTGATAGCAGACTGCTGATGGAGCAGTCAGTGCAAAAAAACCCAAATGAAGGAGCTTTGAGGAAGGCAGAGGAGAGAGGTTTAGCTGCACTTTAGGCTCATCTGGCCTAGTATATCTTTGGCCTTTCCCTCTGAGGATCTGGGCAGTCAGACATCTCCTCTGACTGACACACAGACAGAAATAGGATTGTTTGGTGCTGTTCAATACCCACAACCACTGCTTGAGGTTTCAGAGGGAGCTGGAAAATAGCTAAGTTATTACCAGAAACAAGGGGAGCAGGAAGAAGTTTAAGACATGCAGGGGAGATGCAGGACAGTGTTACATTGCTATGGATCTTTAGCACACATAGCATATAGATATATACAGCATATAGAGAGCATAGAAATAGCTTATAATATATATATATATATTTGTAATATATACTATATATATAATATATTATATATATTATATGTATAATATGTATTCTATAGCATATATATATATATTATATATATAATTTTATATATAGCATATGCAGCATATAGATAGCACATACAGCATATAGAAGGAACTGTTTGAATAGCCTGTTTGAGGAAATGCTAGGACAGGGATCTGGACAAGCTTGAGAAATGAAAACTCATGAGGTTTAACAAGACCAAGTGCAGAGTGCTGCACCTGGATTATCCCCAAAATCAATCCAGGCTGGGGGATGAACAGATCAAGAGCAACCCTGCCCAGAAGGACTTGAGGATACTGGTGGATGAGGGGCTGCACACACCTTGTCCTTGCTCCCTTCATCCTTCTGAGGAGTCTGACCTCACCAGGCTCGTCCCCAGTTCCATCAATATTTTTAGACAATTGCTTGGAAGTAGCCTAGAGCTTTCCAGTCATGAACTACAAAAACCTAGACCCTATTGCAAAAGACCAGGAAGAGTTAGAAATACACTACTGGGAAAAAATATGAAAAGGAGAAGATAACTTTATCCTGAGGAGAAAGGGGATGTGTGAAGCCTTCAGCTACATCAACTCCCCTGGTGCCATTCAGGGAAAGGAAATAAAAAACAATGGCTGTGTCCATAAATAGGCCCAGGCAGGGGTTTAACACAGATTGCCTAATAAATCTTTCCATATTTCTAATCTGCCCTGGCTGACTCAGATTGCATTACTGAAATGTCACAATTGCTGAGCATTAGCAAGTGATAAGCACACTTTTACCACTGACTAGACAAGCCGTAATTAGGCCAAGTCCTTTCCCTCTCCCCTTTATTGGAGCTGTAACAGACTCTCTGAGAGCTTTTCTCTGTTTAAATAAGAACTAAAAATGGCACAAGGCAATAAAGCAAAATGACAGAAAGCACAGGAGGCAAGTCCACATCAGCTATGTTTTATTGAAGGTTTTTCTTAGTGGCAGATAGGGCCTCATAAAGTGTTGCATTATCATGAGTTGAACCTTGATAATTCCATGAGTAACTTTAGGTGGGTGTCCCAGTCCTGAGGAAAGCCTCCTGCCACCTTAGCTGGAAAACACTTTTTCAGAGATACATCAAGTGATGTTTGGCTTTGTGGCAGCTCACAGGAGCCCAGCTCATCAGTAGTGTAAGTTATGGATGCATCCTGGGATGGCAGAACTTGGGAGAAATATCAAATTGTCTTTGGTAGGCCGGGGTGGATGGAAGGATGCCTGAGAATGGAACAACTCCCCGCCTTTTCTTGATGCCTCAGGTTTTAGCTTTTTATATTTTCACATTCTGTGCTTTAGTGTGTGGGTCTGGGTTTCATATCAGGGGATGGTGATCTCTCTGCACAGAGCAGGGAGACAAAACAATTCCTTCTCCAGCTGGGGACCAAGGACAAATGATCCAAATCTCAGCCCAAGAGCACAAACAACGTGGATTGAAGAGAGAAAAACAAGCAGGGTGGGACCTCATGGGCTAAAGCTGGAATTGGACAATTAGCTCCAATATGCAAAGGGAGCAGAACTTACAGAAAAGTGAGATCTCGTGACTAAACCCTCTTTTGCTTCCATCTTGGAGCCATCCAGGCAGAGCCACAACTCCTGTACTGCCAGGATGTGGCCTTTGAAGTCACTTCAATAAATACCCACTTTATTCCTCTTAACTCTGCCTAGCCTGTGTTCCAGCTCCTTAAGGCATGACTCCCTGCTCCCTGTGTGACTCCCTGTGTGTCTCTGGCAGATGGGCTGGCAGCTTTCCGTGCTTTCCTGAAGACAGAGTTCAGCGAGGAGAACCTGGAGTTCTGGCTGGCCTGCGAGGACTTCAAGAAGACGCGCTCGGCGGCCAAGCTGGCCTCCAAGGCCCAGCGCATCTTCGAGGAGTTCATCGATGTGCAGGCCCCTCGGGAGGTGGGTATGGGGTGGCACAGCATCCCCAGGGCACCCAGCAGGGCTGCCACTTCCATCTGGGTGCTCTACATCTTTCCCTTCCCTCTTGGAATGTGGCTAAGGACTGTGGCGATGCCATCCTGCCCGCTCCAGCTGCTTCTGCTCACCCTGACTCATCCCTGATGAGGGCAACTACTTTGATGATACTGAATTAGTCATAGCCAGGGAGTTCACTGGCAACCTCAGCCTACATTTGCTAACCTCACTGAGCTCCCCAGGAGCGTGTCACTGTGTTCCTGTCATTTACTGTCAGTCTTGAGCAGGCTGCTGGGCTCTTCCCTGGCAGGACACTTTGCACAGGACCATCCCACCCATGAGTGGAACACAAGCCCTGAGGGAGCTGGGGGTGCTCAGCCTGGAGAAAAGGAGACTCAGGGGTGACCTTGTCACTCTCTGCAGCCCCTGGAAGGTGGCTGTGGGCAGGTGGGGCTGGGCTCTGTCTCCAGGCAGCACTGACAGACCAGAGCACACAGCCTCAAGCTGCACCAAGGGAAATACAGGCTGGATATTAGGAAGAAGATTTTACAGCAAGACTGATAAAGTTCTGGAATTCTCTGCCCAGGGAGATGGTGGAGTCACCATCCCTGGTGTGTTTAACAAAGCCTGGATGTGGCACTGGGTGCCAGGGTTTAGTTGAGGTGTTGGGGCTGGGTTGGACTCGATGATCTTGAAGGTCTCTTCCAACCCAGTGATTCTGTGAATTCTGTGAGTAACTTGTTGACTCCCGAGGGAGGAGAGTTTCTGACTAACTCCCCCCTCACCCAGACCTCCCAAGAGATGCGAACAATAACTCCGAGCTGAACAGAAAACGCAGTCACACCCCGGAGCCTGGGATTGTTAAATCCTCTTTCAAGCACTCAACAGGCTGATGGCACTGCCACATCCTCGTGACCACGCTGGCATGTGTCACTGCAGTCCCAGCACAGCCAGGGGGGCTCTCACTGCACACAGCCCCTCCTGCTGCTGCATGGGTGCCTGTCAGGGACCCCTAAAAGGGCTCATTTTCCTCCCTCTCCCAGCTAGGAAGGCCATTGCAAGGCCACTGGGAAGGGCCCAGATTCACACCGAGGTGTGTGGCTGTCTCAATGCTCTCCTTGAGCATTTTCCCACTCTTATTCAGGAATGATGAGATTTTAAGGACTGGAAGGCTGACTTTTTATTAGAAATGGGAATGCAGGTAGGATGGGGCACTTCCTACAATTTGGTCCTGTGGTGATGTTTTCTTAGCCCTGTTACATAATTTTGGCATGCTTAGAATATGGAATTATTAGAGCTAATTCATACTGCTGACATCCACACTGAGGCAGACAGCTTTACTTTCCAGGCTCCTTCCAATTTGGATACTGAATTAATAACAACAAATAACATTTTTCCAGCCATTTTTTTTCTTCCAGACAATAACCCTAAAAAATGCTGATTACTCTGCTGGGGAAGGAGAGCAGGAAAACTCCATTGGCTGGTTTTGCAAACAAATGGCAGTCATAACATTATAGGGTGGTTTATTTTTTCAAGCCTCTCCTCCAGATATTGTAAAATGAAGCTGCTATGGGAAAAATCAAACAGTTTATTTTAGATCAACTGAGTTTAGAGACATTTAATAAGATTGTACTAATGGTTTAAACCCTGTTGAAAGTTTATTCACCCACCTATTGGGCATGTGGTGAAGAAGAGAGGGAGCAGGAGAGAGGCCAGGCTGAGTCAGCAGCTTTAGGTGATGTGCTGCCTAAAAGTCTGAATAAAAGTAATTTAAAAAGTGATTTCAGTAAAAGTAAAGTGATTTCAGAAGTGCTCAGATCACTACAAACCCAACTTTTCCAGGCTTGGGGTGGGGATTCACAGCCCTGAATCACTAAACCCCCCAGAGCTGTGGGGGCTGTTCAGGCATGGACGGGGTAGGACCTTGGTTCTGCTGCTGTTCCACAGCCATGGCAGAGAGGGAATGTGCCATTTGAAGGATGCCATCTGCACACTCAGTGCCAAACTCTATTCTGCTGCTTTCCCCAGGTGAACATAGACTTCCAGACACGGGAGCTGACAAGAAGAAATGTGCAGGAGCCCTCCCTCTCGTGCTTTGACCAAGCTCAGGGGAAGGTGCACAGCCTGATGGAGAAAGACTCGTACCCCAGGTTCCTGAGATCCAAAATTTACACAGACCTGCTGTCTCAGACCCAGAGGAGGCTCAGCTAGGACAGCAACGGGGCCCTCAGAAACCACGTGCTTCCCACAACAGCCAAAACCCATGTCTAAATGTGAAACTCCTCGGTGTTAAAAGCAGTGGGAATGGGAAAAGAGGGAGAAGGGGCAGAGGAAGTTTCCAGAGAGTGATCCAGGTGTGGTATTAAGACTCTTTGACTATCTGTGCTTTTTTTTTTCCTTGTTAGCAGTAGCACCTTGCAGTCCTTCCCTCTGTCTAGCACAAACCCACAACCCCCTTGTGGGTCACCTGTGGGCAAGGCAGGTTCCCTTTAAAATGGCTGGGTTGGTTTGTGTGTAAATAACACCTTTCCATCCTTCCACACTTCTCCCTGTCTCTCACCTCTCTTCCTGGTGCTGGAAGGGCCCCAAGGGCAGTGCTGACACTTGTGAAGCCACATCCAGCCCGTCTCTCACAGGTTGGCTGCTGGGGTCTGGACCAGAGACTGAGGGGAGGGAGAGAGGAGACAAAGGCACAAGATTAATTCAATTTCTTGAAGTGGGAACCATCAGCAAACTCAGCTCACCTCCCAATTTTTTTTTTTTTTTTTTTTTTTTTTTTTTTTTTTGGCACACCTTATGACTTGGCTGCTACCTTGTCACTGCCCCTTTTCCTTCAGGGATGGAGGCTCAGAGTATTCTCGAGGAGCTGAGCTTTCCTCGTGAGGAAGGTAATCCCAAAAGCTCTCACCAGGCCTAGGCAGGAAAATCTTCTAATGTGAATGATTGTTTTTGGTGGCTATTATTTATTTGTGTGGTAGTTCAGTCTCAGGCATCATTCAGGCTCTGTTGTGCTGGGCACTGGACCAAAACCTAGCACAAAGGGCTCCTGGCTGCCACAGGCTTGGTGGCTCCTCAGGAACGACCTGTTGGGAGAGAGTGGAGAGGAGGAATGTCCCCTCTGACCCTTGCTGAGGTGTAGGAAAAGCACAAGGCCCGTTTGCCGCAGCAGATGGCATTTTTCATGGGGTACCTGGGATTTTACGTGAAAAATCCCATTTCTATTTTTGTTATTTCCTGATTACTGACTGTTCCTACTCACTGAGTGTCTGCTGTGGGTTCAGTGCCCTGCAAAGAGCTCCCCTGCTGCAGGGTGCTTGTCCCCAGTGGGACACAAAGCATGGGGTGAGCAGGATGGGTGTTGGGGTGTGCAGTGGGGTGTGAGGGGCTCTTTGGCCCTATTCCCATAGCCTGGATGGCCGCTGCAGGAGAATTCTCTGTGCAGATGTCAGGGGTGTAGCATCTCCTCTGTGCTGGGCAATAATTCCTTCCATCTGACGGCCCCATTTCCATGGCATTGCTGTTCCAGCTTGGCAGATTCTTGCAATATTTTTGCGGGGAGAAGCAGACAGCCTGTCTGTGGATTTGAGCCGGCAGACCAAAGGTCTCTTTTCTTAATTTAATGAAGGCCTGGAAAGTGACCCCATGGATCTTTTTCTTCTCTCAGTCATCCCACACCAGAGGCTGTAAACCTCTGCTCCAGCCAGGGGTGGTGGGTGGGTTTGATACATCAGAAAACTGCTGATATAGACTTTGTGTAATGTGGTGTAAATGAGGTAGAATGAATTCTGAAGCCAAGCAAAATGTTTGTGGAAGAAGATAAAAAAAAGTCTGGCTGGATATTAAAAATCACTGTCCATTAATTAAGTAGGAAAGAACTTTTTGAGGCTTTTTGCAAGGATGATGTGCAGGACAGTTGGACAAACAGGTGTAGGATCAAGACAGAGGTGGTAACCATGCTGGGTTTATTCTGAAGGTGTATTCCTGTGGTCTCCAAGACACTGACGTCAAAATACATTGCAAGTGCAAACTTTATCTTCAGTAGGGTGACCTGTTTTTCAGTGCCTGGTTGGCCAGCAGCAGAATCCTCCAGGTCTTTTGAAGGCAAATCTCATCTCCAGTTAAATTTCCGTGAGGAATGGCCAGAAAGCAGCAGTGACCGAACATTCCTGGCTGTCCCCTGCCCCTGCAAGGACACCTGAGGAGCTGGGGCTGGCCTGTGGTGACAGAGGTGACACAGCTCCTGGGACTGTTGAGGCCCCTCATGGGACGCAAGAGACACAAAGCTCAAGGTCTGGATGTGGCAGTTTGACACAAACTTTTTGCTGTTTGCTTGAAAGTGAGAGCAGTGAGACACCTGGAAAATGCTCCAGATTTGCCATGATTTCTCCAAGGGAGCCAGCTCATGCAGGAGCTCAGTATCCCAAAGCTTTATGGCAAGCAAGGCACAGTGAGACAGGTCTGGTGAACCTGTGCAAGGCGTGGAGGGAATCAGAGGTGGAAGCAAAGGACACAGAGCCACATATCCAGTGGCTGTCCCTGGTGAAACCTGGGCTGTAGGAAGGTGTCTTGGTTTGAACAGCCAGGTGTCTGCTCAGGAAGGCAGGAGCCTCCATTGAAATGGAAAATATAAACCCCCTCCCTCCAAATTATTATGATTTTGAAATTAAGGGGCTCTCAGGCAAAGATGTGGGAGCAGGAATAACAGTTCTGTACTAGGAAAATTTAAAATAAGAATACAATAGCATAAAACAACACTGCCAGAGTCAGAACATGCCCTGTCAGGCTGTGGGTCAGGGAGGTGGCAGCAGCCCCATCCCATGGGGGCTCAGCCCTCCTGCAGTGCCAGCTGTGCTTCTGCTGGAGCAGGATCCTGCACAAGGGGGGAGTTTTCCTCTGGAGCTCCAGGGCTGGAGGAGATGGGCCTGGACTCCACTGGGAATGCAGTGGGAAGAAAGCTGCTCCTCTGGGAATGCAGTGGGAAGAAAGCTGCTCCTCTGGGAATGCAGTGGGAAGAAAGCTGCTCCTCTGGGAATGCAGTGGGGAAGAAAGCTGCTCCTCTGGGAATGCAGTGGGGAAGAAAGCTGCTCCTCTGGGAATGCAGTGGGGAAAAAAGCTGCTCCTCTGGGAATGCAGTGGGAAGAAAGCTGCTCCTCTGGGAACGCAGTGGGAAGAAAGCTGCTCCTCTGGGGATGCAGTGGGCAAAGGCTGCTGTGCTGTTCCCAGGTCAGATTGTATCCAGGTAGGAATGTTTGGCTCCTCCCCAGGGCAGAGCATCTCCCCATGGGATGATGGAATTTTCTCAGCCATGCAGGGACACTCACTGGCCATGAACAGAAGAGATCTCCTGCAGGGAGGATGAGTTATGGAAGAGATAAAGAAAACTGCCCAATGAACAGAGGATAACTGCCCCAGCTCTGACAGATGGGAATTGAATACACACCCCCAGCCACATTGCCTAACCTAGGACAGAAGGAGTCATATCACCCCCACAGGCCCTGCCAGGGGCCAGGAGTGAGGAGAGCAAACCCAACCTCGCTGCAGTGACACACTCAGGACCTGCAAGGGAGGATGGAAATCTTCCCTCTCTGGCTGTGAGCAGAGGCTGGGGGAATTCCCCTTTCCCAGAAACGCTGTCTGCCACCCCTGTGTAACGCTGGGATCTCCCAGGGGCACAGGCTGCTTTTGCAGTTTCTTCTCCCTTCTGGGTCACCAAAAACTGGTGCCTTGGAGTGGCTGCCTAGAACAGAGGCTAGATAGAGTTAAGAGGATGAAGTGGTTATTTATTGAAGGCCTTCAACAGGCACACTTTGGGCAGTCAGAGCCTCCAAGAGGGGCTACACCCAAGATGGACAATGTTTTTTGAGACAATTATAAGTTTGGTCCATTTACATATCAGGGGTTAATCCTCCAATTCCAGGTAATAAAGTCATATTCCCCCAGCTTGCTCCCCCCCAATTCACTTTTTGTTTATCCTTTTTGGGGCCTGAGGCTGTAGGGTGTCATTGGATCACAGGCCCAGAGGGATTGTTTTGTCTGACCAAAACGTGAAGAGAGTTAACTACAATTTATGTGGAGCTATGCACTAATACAGTATAGGATTTGAAATATATAAAAGCTAAAATCTTAAGCCTGTGGTCCCAGTTTTACCTAGTGATCCCACTGCTGCCAAAGGGCAGCTCAGGTTCTCAGCACTGTGGCATCAAGCAAATGCTGCAAGTGGTGAACGAGGCCACCTTGTCTGGCCCTGCCCTCCTTCTTTCCACCTTCCTCTTGTCTGTGCATGCAAAAAAAGCATCCCAGAGCTGCCCAGGATGTGAGAGCCAGCAGAAGGAGGCTGAAGCAGTCACTGCTCTTAAAGAGAAGGCAGAAGGCCATGACAGCTGCCTTGTGGTACTGCTCTCCAGACAGACCTTCTGAGTGGACTTGGGTGGTGCTGACCTCTGAGACACCCCAGACAAGGCTCTGCAGCACCTTGGAGAGGGCCACAGAGACAGCCAGGCCAGGGCACACAGCAGGAACAAGAGGCTTGTGTCCAGGAACGTGAGTGTGTGGACAATCCCCTGGCTCTCCTGGTATCCAGAGTGTGACTCCCTGGTCGTGTCCAGAGTGTAACTCCATTTCTCCTTGAGATCCTCCAGCAGCGTTGGTGCTGGAAGTCCTTTCATTTCACATCAGAACTCATGGGAAAACTTCAAAGTGGCCAACACCCTGTAAATCCAAGCTCCCTTCTCTCCTCCATCCACCTGGGGAATCACTTGGAGCAGGGCACACCTGGAGATGTCATTGCTGCAGTGGTGACAGGAGCTGGAATCAGGCTGGCTGATGTAGGAAACTGTGTTTTCCCCAGTAAACTGGGCCCCAGTAAATTGTTCCCTCCATTGGGAACAGCATCCTAGAACACAGAGAGGAGAAAAAGTATTGTCTAAGGCATTTGAGTCTACTACTCCTTGTTTTTGTTGTTGCTCTTGCAGTTTTTCTCTCTGGAAGGAAAGCAGACTAGTTATTTAAAGTAAAATTCTATTTTTCTTAAACAAGAAAATGGCACCAGCTGCTTCTTTTATGACAAATGTCATTCTGAATTGAACCAAAATAAACAGCTTGTAGCTCTACCCCTTAAACCAGGGGCTGATCAAGGAAATAATGACTGAGCCAATGCTTTGGAAAGAGCTGAGTGGTGACTAATCCCCACCAAGGACAAATATCTTATCCTTGACTCATCTCTTCCTGGTGTGAAAGGGACACACACAACCTACAAACCCATTTCCCCTCTCCACAAGCACACACCTTCCACATTTTCCTCCTGTTTGGAGAACGTTAAAATGTGCCATCACATGAAGAGAAGGGGGAAAATAATGGTTCATTCAGTTCTTTTTTATTCTGTTTGCTGGCCCATACCCCGTCAGCTCCCAGGTAGATTGATGGCAGAAGGGAAAAAGAGTTTACAAATTTCCTTTTCTATGAGCTTCAGGTGGTGTTAACTCCAGGATCAGATGCAAAACTCTAATCTGTCTAAATTTCTCCTGCTTTGCTCCATCAGCCAGGCTTGGGATGATTTCCATCACTTTTAGTGGACTCATTAATGCACTAAGGGGTCCCTGTTGTTCATGCTGGGGAGGTGTGAAGGGCAAAGGGGAGGGGGAAATTGCTGTGTGTGTCTGGGGATGTGGGTGGATGAGAGTGCATGTGACTTCCTCTGTATCTTATTTAGTGTCCTCTACTACAGAAGCTTTTCTGAGACATAGATGTGCATGTTAAAATAGGAGAATTAGGCACAAATGACATAAACTGAGATCTTTAGCCTGTGTTGTGTTTGCCTCGTGTGTAAGTCCAAGTAGTAGTAAGAGATGTAAAACTCTGCTAGGCTTCCAGTTACCCCTAAGAGCACATGTATCAAACTGAACTGAATGTTCACTGATAGACACAAAACCAAAATGTTTACAGCATTCAGAGCAATAGCAAAGCATACCTCATGCCAGTCCTGGAGTGCCTCTCACCCGTCAGTGCAAGCTCTCCCCTCCCTGGGGGCCTCTGCCTTCTCCCTCCACACTCCTCCCTCTTTCTCTATCCTGTCCTGGTTGTCTTCCCTCCTCCTTGAAGCACTCCAAACCTTCCTGTCCACCAGCACTCTTTGTCCTCATCTATCTGAACCTGGGACTCCCCTAACCCCGTCCTGTTTGCCTCTCCTCCATCCCCATCCATCCCTCCTCTCTTCTTTGCCTTTCCCTTCCCCAGACGCTCGTCTCTGGTCATGGCATCTCCCTCCTACATGCCTCCTACTGCCACTGTAAAGCTCCTAGGAGCTCCTCCTTGCTCATTATATAAGAACAAAACGTTTCACATCATTTCTGCATTATCTTTCATCCCTGGGGCTGCTGCAGTTGTCTCCTTCCTTGGTGCTGTGCTCTCTCTGGCATCGTAGCATTATATCCCAGAACTGGAATTAAAGTTCATTTTGCTGCTAGACCAGAATGCTTCTGTCTACCACGCACCCCTTGGGCTTTGCAGAGGCTTGTCTTGTCCCTAAGTCTTTTGTCTTCCTTCTTTTTCTCCTTCTTCCATGCACGCTGCACATGCAGTGCTTGTGGCAGGGGCTGGCTAGGGTAGAGGGTGTCTGTGCTGGGGTCACTCCCAGCTGGGCACCCCCGTGGCTCTCTGGTTTATAAAAGCAGTCTCAATAAAGGCGTGTGGGTTGTGTTTGCTCAGCAAAGTCAGTGGTTGTGCTCTGTGCCTCCTCCTGGCTTTCCAGGGTGATGTGTGTCTCATCTGAGGCTGTGGTGAACTCAGCGGGAGTTCAGGGAGCTGAGGCCGTGGGAGGGAGGTGGCAGAGGGGGATGAGCTTGTTACCATAAACATCCAACTTTCCTGGCAAAAAGGCACAGGAGAAAAGGCAGTGCCTGCTTCTGGAGGGACCAGGGAGCTCTGGGGACCAGCTGTGCTGTGAATTGTTTGTCTCAAGTGGCCCCACACCTCCCAGTTGGCCTCACGTGCTGCGTGCCCCAGGCTGGCTCTAAAGCGTGGCGGATAAGGAGCTGCTCAGCTCTGCATTTCCAGTGCAGGTAACAGCGTTATCCCAAGAGAAACGTCTTCATGATGCTCTAGCAGTGCCTGCAGCCACCAGCTGAAAAGCAGTGAGGGGAAGGAGGCACCTTCTGCTGTGTTTACTCCTGCAGACCTCTGTAGGACTCCTGGCAAGAGAGAGAGAAGGGTATGAACACACCTTGGGGTAGATCCCCCTTCCTTAAGAGCCACGATTGAAGATGTCCTCTTCTCATAACCTCTCCCCCCAGCTCTTTTATGAGTTACCCAAATCAGAGCTCAGATTTGTCCTTAAGCTCCTTGGCACCTCCCCCTTGGTGGGATGGCAGGGTCCCCTTGAGGACGTGACTACAAGCCCAACCAAGAAAGGCTGCTTGAAATAAAAAAGATACCTGGTTCCTCTGCAAATCAACTCGTGGGTGGCTCAGAAGAGACTGAGGATGGCTCTGCTGCACGCAGTGAACTCAGAAGTGAGCCACCAGGCAGAAAGAACAGCTCAAAAGAGCTTCCCTGGGCAACGCTTTTATTTCCAGGAGATGCCGCTGCTGCAGCTGCCACCCTGGGGTGCCCTGGTGCTGCTGGTGTTGGGGCAGGCCACGCAGGCTGCTCAGTCTGATCCCTTCCTGCCCAAGGAAAGGCATGGGCTGGGCTCCCCGGGCTCCCCCTGCATTAGCTGCTCGTTTGCTGGGCTCCCCTTTTCCCTTGGAGGCTGGAGGAGCTCCTCAGGCATGCCACAAATCCACCCTGAGCCGTGTCACCACATTGTGCAGTGTTACACCCGTGCTGTATAGACACCCTGAGGACATAATAAACAGCCTGAGATTATTTGTTCTCTGCCTGAGTGTCTGAAAAGCTGCAATCCTGGGGGTGGAGGGGTGTCTCCCAGCCAAATTGCTGAGGAGGAAGAGGAGGGGAGAAGCTGTTTCTCCACAGCCCCCCTTGGACACAGCAGACACACTGGATGGGGCAGCAGAGTGGGGATGGGTTGGTGTTCTGGTTTGAAAACAAAACTAGTAAGTCAGAAATACAACTTATTATTAGGAAAAGTGGAAGAGAAAACAAAATAGATGTAATAACACAAAAGAAAAAAACACTGACAAAGTCAGAATACAACCTGACACCCTTTTGGTCAGAGTGTTGGTAGGAGTCCAAATTGGAATGGCTGCACTCCTCCTGGAAATCCAGCAGAAAAGCCTGAATCTGGTGTCCCAAAAACCCAGATTATATCCAGTTAGGAATGCTTGGCTCCTCCCTCTGGGTGAGGCATCTCACAATGGGATGTTATAATTCTTATCAGTCATACAGTGACATTCAATAGCCCATTATCAGCAGCTGTCTCCCCTGAGAGAGGATTGGTTGTGGAAGACATCAGGAAAACTGCCCACTTAACACAGGACAACTGCCATACAGATGGCAAATGAATACATTTTGCCTTGCAATCTGGGACATTTGGCTCCAAGCTGTTGATGGCTCAGCTGGAGCAATTCAGAACCAGGCTCCCCAGAGGTCCAGTTTGGGGGGATGAGTCTGAAATGAGCCAGTAGGACCTGCAATGAAAGGAAAATCCCAAGAGCCTTCCAGCAGCACATTGCTGTCCTTCTCTGAGTACGCCTCACTGCTGCCCATGATGGACTCCCTGCCCCAAATCCCAAAACCATCATGGACAGAGGTGGAAATAAGTGTTGAGCCTACTACCTGCACCAGGAGCAGCAGTGGGGGACACACAAGCTCCTGGGAAAGGGAGCAGTGTGGATGGATTGAGCACAATTAGGTCACGAAGAGCAAACAGCAAACGAAGAGCTTTCTCCAGACCATAAAAAGCCACCTGTGCTCCAGCAGGCAGCTCACACCCAGCCTCAGCTTGCTCCACCCTGCTGGGATGAACCAGGGAGGGATGAGCAGGAGTAGGGGGAGAGTCACCAGCCAGTCATGGGCCACTTTGGAGAGTCTGGAGGGGGCTGGGATTGCTGGGGAAGGGTCAGACAGCAGCTGAGGGCAAGCCTGAGTAGCAAGGGAGGGAGGGGAGGCATTAGCAGGGGCAGGGAGCAAGGCACTTGAGGCAAGGTTAGGTGTTAGTGGGAAACTGCATGGTGAGAGATTGCTTGAGTTGGAACAGCCAGGTGTCTGCTAAGGAAGGCAGGAGCCTCCCCTGAAATGGAAAATGCAAACCCCTCCCTCCAAATTATTATGATTTTGAAATTAAGGGGCTCTCAGGCAAAGATATGGGAGCAGAAATAACAGTTCTTTACTAGGAAAATTAAAATACAAATGCAATAGTACAAAAAAAAAAAAAAAAAAAAAAAAAAGAAAACAAACACTGCCAGAGTCAGAGCATGCCCTGGCAGCCTGTGGGTCAGGGAGGTGGCAGCAGTCCCATCCCAGGGTGGCTCAGCCCTCCTGCAGTGCCAGCTGTGCTTCTGCTGGAGCAGGATCCTGCACAAGGGGGGAGTTTTCCTCTGGAGCTCCAGGGCTGGTGGGGATGGGCCTGGGCTCCTCTGGGAATGCAGTGGGAAGAAAGCTGCTCCTCTGGGAATGCAGTGGGAAGAAAGCTGCTCCTCTGGGAATGCAGTGGGAAGAAAGCTGCTCCTCTGGGAATGCAGTGGGAAGAAAGCTGCTCCTCTGGGAATGCAGTAGAAGAAAGCTGCTCCTCTGGGAATGCAGTGGGCAAAGGCTGCTGTGCTGTTCCCAGGTCAGATTTGATCCAGGTAGGAATGTTTGGCTCCTCCCCTGGGCAGAGCATCTCCCCATGGGATGATGGAATTTTCTCAGCCATGCAGGGACACTCACTGGCCATGAACAGAAGGTAATTAATAATTCATGGTCCATTAACAAAAGATATCTCTCTGGAGGGAGGATGGGTTGTGGAAGAGACAAAGAAAACTGATCAAATTAACAGAAGAGAACTGCCCAAGCTCTGACAGATGGCAAATAGAATAAACACCCCCAAGCCATACCTTACAACCCAGGGGAGAGATTTACTGCAGAAACCATGTGGGGCTTCAGTGAGGAAGGACTGAGCATCTCCCGAGCAGGTCTGGCCAGCAGGAAAAGCAGTGACCTGGATCTCATCTGGCCCTGGGCACAGCGAGGGCTCTCACCTTGCCTGGTGCACAACCCCCTCTCCCTAAAAAAAGGTGAGTGTTGCTCTGTGGTCTGCACACACACATGTTGCGTTTAAACCCAAAAATTTGGCTTGTTTTCCTCTGGAAATTGGTCTGGTGGAATTTATCAGTCCCTCCGGCTTCTTGATATCCCCCTGATTTTTTTGCCTAAATCCCTTCTTCTACTGTTTTTCCTTTTCCTCTGCTGCCTCTTCCCTCAGCCTGTTGCTGAGCCAAACCGATTTGAATGCATCTAAGGAAAGATCTGCCATTAGTGCTGCTCTGTCTCTCCTCTTACTCAGGATATATTTAGCCATCATCTTTCAGCTTTTTTCCTGGCTGTTCAGTGGCTTTAAAAAGCAGGTGCCGGGAACGGAAAGAGAAGATTAAAAGTACCTGCTGTCAGCTACCTCTCCCTGTGCAGCTGTGCAAAGCAAGCACGTGGGCAGAGTGGATAACAGCTGCCCCTTGAAAACCTCATTTGTAATTCTAATTCTTCTTTTTTCTAAAAAATTATTATTATTACTTCAATAATCTCTTTCTGCACTGCTACAAATTTCCAGAGCAGCTATTTCCTCCCGTGCCTCAAGTGAATGTGGAGTGTTGGGAATCCATCAAACTCTCCATGGGTGAGGGTGAGGGATGTTTTGTGGGCAGCTGGGATGTTGTGGGATGGGCTAGGCAGGCACAGGTGGAGCCAGGCTCAGCTGCAGCCACACAGATCTGGTGTCCCACAGCCACCCCTGGCTGTCCCTCTCCCACCAGCTGTGCCCATGGCCGAGCCCCAGCTGCAGTGTGGCTACTCAGGGACCACTGGCAAATGCTTGGCTGCTGTCTCAGCCTTGGCAGCTTCCCTGCTCCTCCCTGGCACCATCATAGAATTTTTCAGGTTGGGAAAGACCTCTAAGATCATCTGGTCTAAGCATTAACACAGCACTGCCAAGCCCACCACTAAACCCTGTTGCTGTTGCCACATGCCTGCCTGCACAGCACCAGCCTCCATCCCATCCCCATTTCCTTGGCTTACTTCCCTCCTTAAACACATCCAGAGCCTATCAACAGCTTGCAGGTGGAGGAAAGGGCTATGCAACATGAGCAGGGCCTTTAAACCTCCCATTTCTGCTCCTTTGCATTCAGCACCTCCCTGATTTCATGGCAGGAGTGTCGTCAGGTTTGGCCATCCCTGATTGCCACCTCTGTGGTTCCCCTCTGGTTTAGGAGAAATTGGGGACAGACTCCTTGGGGAGCCTGCCCGCAGTGAGACCCCAACAGCAGAGCTCAGCCTGGCTCTTCCCCTCTTCCTTCTCCCTGCTCCCCTTCCCAATCTCTTGCTGCATCTTCCCCTTATTCCACTTGAACAGTATAAAACCACAAAAATATCCCTGCCAGGAACTCTCCTCAGAGCTGTGCACTGGGCACATACACAGGGGCACTTTGCACCCTGTCACCAAATCCTTGTTTTCCCATTCCCCACCCCATTTCTGGGGCTGAGACCTTTGGTTCTGTGTTTTCCAAAGGTGCCAGCATTTTTCAAATAACCCAGAAATGCCAGCATCAATCCCTGGGCTGATGGGGTGTGTGTGTTTTGCTGCTGAGGGTGAAGCCAGCCAGTGTCTATACCTCCCCAAAATGCTGGCAAAGGGTGGCTGTGGGTGCCTTAGCCCAGCCATGTCACCAAACCCTTGTTTTACCAAATTTCCCACCCCATTTCTGTAGTTTGGGGCTGAAAACTTTGTGTTTTCCAAATTTGCTGGCATTTTGCAAATACAGCACACCCTGGGGCTGGTGGGGTGTGTGTGTGGGGGGTGTCTGCTGCTGAGGGTGATGCCAGGCAGTGGCTGTAGCCCCCCAAAAGCTGGCAAAGGGTGGCTGTGGGTGCCTTAGCCCAGCCATGTCACCAAACCCTTGTTTTACCAAATTTCCCACCCCATTTCTGTAGTTTGGGGCTGAAAACTTTGTGTTTTCCAAATTTGCTGGCATTTTGCAAATACAGCACACCCTGGGGCTGGTGGGGTGTGTGTGTGGGGGGTGTCTGCTGCTGAGGGTGATGCCAGGCAGTGGCTGTAGCCCCCCAAAAGCTGGCAAAGGGTGGCTGTGGGTGCCTTCTCAGCCCAGCCACCTCCCAGCCTCAGAAGGCAGCAAAGCACCTGCCTGGGCTGCCAGGAGCTTCCTGGTGGAGGTGAGCCCATCCTGATGGATGGGAGGTGGGTTGGTGCTGGCAGGGCTCTGGGAAGGGAGCCTGGCCCCAGGCCTTGCGACACGGATGAGTTTTTTGTATTTTTTTGTATTCCAAAACAAGGGCTGATAATGGAGGCCACGGGGCCAGAGCTGCGGGAGGCTGCTAAGCTAAATGAGACAGGAAGCACGTAATTCAATTAGATACAGAGCAGCATGAAGACATCTGAGTACACACACGGGGCTGGGCTCAGAGGCTATTGCATAACCCTGGGAAGAGCTGTGCAATATGAAATATCTCACCTAGAGCAGCCCATGCTGCCCAGCTGCCTGTCCTTGAGCAGCCCCATCGGTGGGGAGAGGCAGAAAAGCTGCCCCAGGGAGCAGAGGGGTCAGCTGGTGGCTGTGGCACAGTGGCCATAGGGTCTGTCCCAGCTGGAACAGCCCAATCCCACTCCTGTGCCTGGGCTCAGACCTGCACACGTGGATCTGGCACTGCCCTGTGTCCCAGAGCCAGCTCTGTGAGCAAACACCTTTGTGCCTCTTCTGGCTGAGCTGCTGTGGTCCCCAAAAAACCCACAGCCTTTGTCTGACCCCTTCCCTGGGGTTGTTCTCTCACCATGGGCAGTTCCTCCCCTCTGCTTCACCGTCAGCTTGGCCTCACCTGAGCCCAGAGCTTCAAAAGCTGCCACAGGGGACAAGGTAAAACCACACACACACACGCTTGTGCAATGCACTTTATTTCTCTGGGGAAAAGCAGCAGGCAAACAGGGCCTGGAGCAAAGAGGGGGGCTCAGCAGGCTGCAGTCTCAGGGCAGAGATGTGCAGAGTTTCTCTGCTCTGGCTCACACGCCCCAGGCTCCTCACCAGTTGCAGTTGCTGCCATCCCAGCTGTGTTTTTGCCATAGTTACATTTGCCTGGCTGCTCCAGGCAGCACGTGGTTCCCAGCACGGTGGCTGTGCCAGGCTCCTGAGTGGCAGCCAGGAATCATCTGTCCCGTGTGCCTGCCACACGTGGCCAGGCTCCTGGAGGTTTTCCTCCTGGCATGACCTGCTCAGAGCGTGCCTCAAACACCAGGGAGAGTTACCAGAGCACCCTGTGACTTTGCAGATCTGCAGCAGGAAGGATGGGCTGCAGTGCTAGAGGGGAAAGGGACAGAGGTGAACATTTCCACAGCATTTGTGTGGAATAACCAGGGAGGGGACGAGGAGAAGGGGCATTGCCTCCCTAAACCCTCTGGTCACCTGCTGCAGCAGGGAGGTGAGTGCCAAGCTGCTTTGGCATGATCTCCAGATCTCCTTTCCAGCCCTGACTCTGTGGAACAGCTGAGTGTGGGTGCCAGCAGCCTGTGCCCACCCCCACGTGCCACTGCTGCTGTGACACCAGTGCTCCCAGCGTGGTGCTGAACTGGGGTGGAGCTCCAGGCTGGTGTGGCACTTCCAAAAGTGATGCCAAGCACACACGCTGTGGGTGTGCACAGACATTCTTGGGTGTGCACAGACATTCTCAGCAGCTGTACAGGCAAAGGCAACCTTCCAGCCCTCTCTCCTCAAGTCTTCCATTTCTTTTCTGGAATCCACAGCAAGGATCACAGCTCTAATTTTTGTTTTAAGGCACAGAGAAGACTTGAATTAGAGCTTTGTGTAACTCCAGCCATTTATCTGTAGTTGAATATCTGCTAACCAAGAAGGCTTAAACATGATTATTTGAGTGAAAATCCCCAGAGCCATCAGGAAAGAGGCTGCTCTTACATGAAGAAGTAAAAGTGTGTGTTCAGTCATTAGTCCTGATGCATCCTTCCTGTCTGTCCATGAGCAAGACCATTCTGTGGCTTCTTGTAAGTGATGAGAGAAAGACAGGACTCTACTGCTCGGTGGGGCTGAGGTGCCTCATGCTCCTCTCAGTCTCCCATCCAGAGATCCTCATGCTCCTGCTCCCAAAGGCAGCTTGAGAGGAGCCTTTCTCCTGCCCAGATGGCTTTGTGCTGCCACTCTCCTGGCATGGCTCATCTCTCCAGGGAAAGATGCTCTGGCAAAGGGAAAGATGCTCTGGCAATGTGCTGTGTGTGATGAATGCAGGCAGCAAGGGTAGGAGACAACCTGAGCTCTGGAAAAATGTCTGAGCTGGGAATAGCAGGGAGGAAGGGAGAGGATGAGGAGTGCAAGTGGCAGCTGTCTGTGGCCTTGTGCTTGGCTGGCCATGAGCAGGGGGGTTAAGGTCACTCCCTTCCAGAGCCACTGAGCTGGGAATTGCAGGGAGGGCAGCTCTGGGATCCTGTGTGAGCCTGACCTCACCACGGGGCCTGTTGGTTCTCAAGGACCTCTGGTTCTTGTAGCTCCAGACCCTGGGGCTTGTTGGGGTGTGCTGGTTTAACCCTTTCTCTTCATCTTTCTCTTTTGCTGGCTCAGTCCTTCACCTCCAGTTTCCAAACTCGCCCTGGCTTTTAACCTCCATTCAATTTTCAGGTTTCATCAGGATCCTCCATTATCAGATCCTTTCCCAGGTTTTGGCTCCTTTCCTTCCCCTCCCTCCTCTCACCACACACCCAGCAGGGGATTTGTGTTGAAGAAGTGCAACTTCAGCCAGCACGTTGTCCTTATGTATTCCAGCTGTGAACTGGCAGTGCCATTAAGAGGGAAGTGGAAACATTAAACCCTCCCGCTCCATCTGTATCCCCCCAGGAAGCACAAACCCTCCTGAGCTCGCTGGGGGCTGCCACCACTGGGGAAGTGCGGGGAGGTTTGGAAGCCTTGGGGCAGCGGGATGGAGCAGCGGGATGGAGCAGCGGGATGGAGCTGACGACTCTCGGCGTCTGTCCTGTCCCTCGCTCTCCCACCCGCCGGTTAATCAGCAGGCTCCACACGTCGCTGGAAACGAGCCTGTTTTTTCCTGTTCCCGAGGAAGCGGCTATGACTGTGATGCTCAAGGACGAGCCTGGGCCTCCCACTCCCCCCTCCCTTAGCAGCACACACAAACTTACCTAAGCTCTCATCTTCACGGGCGCCGTCTGAGCAGCTTTTGGTTGGCTGGAGGCTGGAGTGATGCTGGTCCCCCTCCCCGCTCTCCCGCCTCCCACCCGATATAAAGCGCGGCTCCGCGCCGCTGTCGCAGCCGCCAGCACGGGTCCGCGGGGCCGGTGGTGTCGCCGCCGCCTGTCGCACCCCCTGCCAGCCCCGGGAGGAGCCGATGAGTTGCTGGATGCCTGGGTGCCCAGCTCTCAGCATGTGCCGGGGCTTAGCCGCGCTCCCCATCACTTGCCTGGAAAGGTAAGGCGCTTCTGGGAGGCAGAGGGGTCGCTGGAAGAGACTCGCCCGGACCAGCCTCTGCTGCTGCCGATGTGATGGTGGGGTAGAAACCGGGGTGCAGAAAACACGCAGCGAAGTGATTTGTTGTAGCTGCATCCCTTCTGCTCCCCGGGAGGGGAAACAAGCGGAGGGAGAGGAGGCTGGACAGGGCTGTACAAACACACCAGGTTTTTCTGGCTCTGCCTCTGCACAACTTGCGGGAGTATTTCCGTCAGCACATGTTGCTCCTCCTGCAAAGCCCCACGCTGCTTGACATTTAAACCCTTCTTTTTTTTACGGGCGCCTTGGGACGCCTGAACGAGCCGCGGGCACGCAAATAGCAGCTGGGCCACACGCCGCCTCGGGGGCACCCTGGGGACAGACAGGAGCCTCTTCTTCTCTCGGTAGGGAGGTGCCTCCTCCGTGCCTCCGCCGCGGAGCCGCGGGGACAGGCAGGAGCATCCCAGCCTCTGGCACAGGAGCATTCCTGCCTCTGGCACAGGAGCATCCCTGTCTGTGGCACAGGAGCATCCCTGTCTGTGGCACAGGAGCATCCCTGCCTCTGGCACAGGAGCATCCCAGCCTCTGGCACAGGAGCATCCCAGCCTGTGGCACAAGAGCATCCCAGCCCCTGGCACAGGAGCATCCCTGCCTCTGGCACAGGAGCATCCCTGCCTTTGGCACAGGAGCATCCCAGCCTGTGGCACAAGAGCATCCCAGCCCCTGGCACAGGAGCATCCCTGCCTCTGGCACAGGAGCATCCCTGCCTTTGGCACAGGAGCATCCCTGCCTTTGGCACAGGAGCATCCCTGCCTTTGGCGCAGGAGCATCCCAGCCCCTGGCACAGGAGCATCCCAGCCCCTGGCACAGGAGTATCCTTGCCTCTGGCACAGCAGCATCCCAGCCTGTGGCACAAGAGCATCCCAGCCTGTGGCACAGGAGAATCTCAGCCCCTGGCACAGGAGCATCAGTGCTGCCCCTGCCTCCTAAAGCCATGGGGTAGGTGGATGGAGCTGCTGCGGAGTGCTGACCTCTCCACGGCCCGGTGAAAGGCTCCTGGGGGCCTAAGGGCACCCCAAAAAAGAGAGCAGGGGAGCAGCAGCCTGGCAGCAGCAGAGAGATGCTCCTGCTGTGCTGACAGGAAAGAAACCTCTGTGTTTTTCCAGCGGTTTGGGAGCACTGGCGGGAGAGTGGGGTGGGAAAAAGAACCAGGTTAGCTCCGGGGAGCTGGGGGGGCTCCAGCTGGGCACTCAGCAGCTTTTACCTGCCCTACAGAAAGCTCGTGGTGCTTTGTATTCCATGTGTCTCTGCCTGGGAAGCGAGTAGGAGAAACCGGTCCCCCAGGCTTAATGCACGGTTGCCAGGGAGCAGGAAAAGCAAGTGGGGAGCGTTTATTTCACCCACCAGAGAGCAAAGACGTGGCTGGAGCTAGAGAGCAAGGGCTGTCCCCCCGAGCCCGTGGGGTGCAGCCCCTGCCAGCGGAGGCAGCAGACTGATGGTCCAGAGATCCCATCTCACCCCTCCCTCTCTCCCTCCCTTCCAGAGCCAAGGATCTGAAGAGCCGCTTGGGCATCCTGCTTCATAAACCCGAGCTGGGACACAAGGCGGGCAGCTCCAGCAAGCTGCAGCTGGGCTCTAGGCGCAGGTAAGGCAAGCCAAGCTCTGGCCCAGGTGCAGCCCGAGCCAAGCCCCCTTGGAGCAGCCTTTGCCCAGGGATGCTCCTGCCCATCTGCGCAGCACAGAGCTCAGCTCCCCCTCCGCGCAGTCCCACCCCGGCGGGCCGGGAAGGCGGATCGCTTCCCTGCTCCGGCGGCTATAAAATCCGCCAGGGGAACGGATGCTCTGGCATTAGGCACAGAGAGCAAGAGGCAAGTTCCTTGGCAAGAGGCAAGGAACCCGCAGGGCTCCTGCACTTCCACACCAGTGGCTGGGATCCCCGGGGAATGCAGGCAGCATTAAACACAGAACACTAAATATTGCTGCTGAGGGCAGGGGGTCTTCTGCAGGGGAGGCTCTTCTGAGCATCCCCTAGAGCAGCATGGAGATGAGGTCGGGTGAGCCATCAGGGAAGGTGAAAGAAAGGGAAGAGAGAGGAAAGAGAGCCCACAGGTAATGGATATCGGCCCCTGGCTTTGGTCTCCTGCTGAATGCTGCTGTCTCCCAGTGATGGAGCTGCACAGCTGAAGTGCTCCCAGCCCTCACTGCTGGACAGGCAAGCCTCACATCCTTTTTGTCTTTTCCAGAGACTCCTCCCGAGAGGTGCTGGAATGGAGGGAGTCCTTTGACCAGCTCCTCAAGAGCAAAAGTGAGTAGCATCTTGTTTTCTTCTCTTGGTGAGAGTGTGTAGGACAAATATACTCATAGTGAGCTGTATGACTGGAGACAGTGTAAGATGAAATCTCGCCTCCTCCTCAGCCTTAGAAGGGCTTAGAAAGAGGGCCCTTTCCTGGCCAGATCTGAGGCACGGGGCTCATTGCCTGCCCCATGAAGCTGTACCCTTTCCTCCTGGCTGGGTTTTTTGGGGGGGCAGAAGTGTTGTCTTTCTGCTGCCTTGGGACAGGAGCACTGTCACTGGCATCCCATGAGGAGCGGAAACATTCCCAAAGCACCCCTTTCTCCACACTGGGGAGAAGGCAGTGTCAGCTCTCGGTATCTGGTGGAAACAGCCATGCAGGCACCTCCCCTCAGGCTTGTTCAGACAACTGCATTGCTGCCCTCTGTCTGTCTGTCCTGTGCCTCCGGGGATGGCTCTTCCACAGGGAGCAGGAATTCAGCAGTCTGACTGAAATAACCTTGCCCTTTTCCTACTCCGGTATCAACTGTGTGTCTGTGATGCACAGGGCTCCTGTGAGATGCTGTCTCCCTCTGCCCATGCAGGCAGCTCCTCCAGACCCAGAGATGGGACCTCTTTTTCAGTCCCACACATCATCCCCTCCTTACACTGGGCTCTGCACAATGGCAGTCTCCAAAAACAGTTTTTACAATTATAGAGATGATAACTCAAATTACAATGAGAGCCAAAATGAGATTGCTGACTGTAACAAGCCAAGACTTTGTAATTATCTATTTACCTTTAAAAAAAGATTACCTTGATTGAGCTTTGCAAAATCCAAATGGCAGAAGTGCCAAATTTTAATTCAAAAGTAATTGTCTATCTTAAAAGCTCTTCCCCAGCCAGACAAAGTCCCTCCACAACGCTAGTCTGGGGCCAACTGTATTTTTTTCCTGGTCTCCCTCAGGTGCTATGATGGCTAATGAGCATCTCTAGCTTTGTAACTTAATCCACTCTCCCAGCACAGCTTTGAAATCCTTGCTACAATTTCTCTCCTGTCCTCAGCATCTCATTCCCCCCAGATCTGGGCTGAGAAATCAAAATCAAGGCACTGCTGCTCAGCTCCTGCAGTGTTCCGATGCGTCAGCGCGCTTCTCCTTAGGTGGAATTAGCTCTTTTCCGAAGCTGTAAAGAAAATACTCTGAAGCCTCATTACAGAAAGGTCAGATAAATAAAACCAGAGGATCACTTGTCTGTGGGAAAGGATTTTATTGGAGTCTAGAGGCCAATTAATGGTGTCTCAGAGGGTGGAATTTGCCCAGAAGGAAAGGAAATCTGCGGATGTCACGGTCTGAGCTCCCAGAGCAACGCTCGCCAGGCAGTGTCTGCTGCTGGTCCTCTTCCTCCCCGCCTCCTTTCCCATTAACTGCTCTTCTCTCCCCTCCACAGGTGGGGTAAATGCATTCCACACCTTCCTGAAGACTGAATTCAGTGAGGAGAACCTCGACTTCTGGCTGGCATGCGAGGACTTCAAAAAGACCCGGTCAAAAACTAAGCTGGCCTCCAAAGCCAACAGGATCTTTGAGGAGTTTGTCCAAAGTGAGGCGCCCAGGGAGGTGAGACCATTTTCTGTCGCATCAAATAGGGTGGGAAAGAAATAAAATACCCTGGTAGATTTTATTAAATTTCTGTTGGATCAGTGGGAAGATGTGCTCTTGTACATGAGAGCTTTAATCTCTAACATTGTGTGGTCCATTGCATAATGTTGGAACAGAAATTGCATCTAACCATGAAGGGCTATAAAGGTTTGTGAGCATTTTCACCCTCATCTGAAGAGTTTATTATAAATGAAAATTCCTCCAGCCAAATTAAAATGAAAAAATAAAATATTTATTTTGCAATTAAATTCTATCTAGCCCGCCACAAGGAAAGAACAGAGCCGAGCCTGGGGTCGACCCTGGGTATGCAACAAAGAAGTCAGCCTCAGCAGAGGTTTTCCTCTATGCCTACACACCTCCATCCTTGTACCGCTATAAAAACGACTTGTACAACAGTACAAGTGGTTTTTATGGGAAAAATTCCTCTTGAGGCCAAGATTTCGGCAGTCAGTCTTTTAAAACCAGGTTTTATCCTCACTTAGAAGAGGTAATGTTTCTGGGTGCTGCTGCCTTGCAGGTGAACATCGACCACGAAACCAGGGAGATCACCCGCAAGAACCTCTCGGGGGCCACCTCCGCCTGCTTCAACGAGGCGCAGGCCAAGACGCGCACGCTGATGGAGAAGGACTCCTACCCCCGCTTCCTGAAATCCGCCTCCTACCAGGACATGACCAAGCAGGCCGCCGGCCGCGGCACCGGCAAGAGGCCGCACACCTGACGGGGGGACCAGGCTGGGGGCCAGGCGAAGGCTGAGGCCCCCGTGCTGGGGGTCCGGCTGAAGCGCTGGGCTTTCAGCAGGACCCCCAGCACCTCCAGCGCTTCCCGGAGCCGCCGGACACGGCGTTCATTCCTCCCTGCCTGGCGGTGGGAGCCCGGAGCCTCCCCTCGCAGCCCGGCCGGAGAACTTTGGCACTGCAGGCATGGAAAGAAATGGGGTTTGAGCTGCGAGAGCAGCGGGAAGAGATGGGGTTCCCCCGAGCACCCACAAGGAAGAGCTCCCAGCTGCGCTCTGACCGGCAGGGCCAGCACAGGAGCCTGCCGCTCCCCCTCGCAGGGAATGGCCAGGATAAAGCCCTGAGACTACACGGCATTTTCAGCTGGAGGGATCCTGCACCTGCCTTCTCCTGATCCCAAGATCCTCCAGCTGTGTCCTATGCATGCTCTGCAGCGAAGCTTTCCACCTCCTTCCAGTGCAGTGACGATTTGATCCCTCGCTTGAGCTCCGCGACCTTCAGATTGCACCTAATCTTAGGTCACGTGCGTGACGTTTTATCCCTGTTACTGTTATTTATTTCATCATTGTTATTATTATTATATCTATATTTATTAGAGGAGCACTGCTGAAAGCACACACGTGTATCCCTTGCTCCGGGGAGCTTGTAAGTTAAATTATTTTAGCTGTTGTAGCACTTAGCATGCTTCCCACCTTTTCTGTGTAATAATTTGAGAGGACCAGACAGATTTGTAGCATGGTTTTGGAGCAAGGTACACCAGTAGCAGCAGGGAGAGCTGCTAGAGAGTTTGGATGGCAGGGCAAGGATGCTTTGCAGCCCATGTTGTTCCCTCTCTCTCTTAAAGATGTGGAAGGTATGTCACCACCTTGTCCTAGACAGGGAACAGAAAGGTCAAACAGGTACTTTGGTGAGCAACTCTATGGAAAATTTGATTTTCACACATGGGAGAGAAAACCCTGGGGCTTTGCCTGTGTTTATAATTGGGCTTGGATGGTGAAACCAGTCTGCAGCCACAGCACTTTACCAGAAACGCGTGGAGTGAGTGAAATCATCCCATAAATTCAGTGACTCGGGGTGGCAGGACACATCACCAGCCCAGACCTGGGGGCAGCTCTTCAGAAAGTCCCTCTCAGCAGGAATTCTGAGGTTCTGGAGAGGTGTGGGTCCCACTTGGCAGCAATGGTGGGTGGGTGGGTGATGTGGAACCTGTGCTGGGTCCTGGGCAATGTGCCACCAGCACTGCTCCCTGCTGAGGGCTGCTTTCCAGGGCTCTGTCTATCCCCAAAGACCAAACCTGAAGATCCTTATCCCACTGGTACTCACTCCTTGTCAAGGGAACTCTCTTTTGCCCCTCTGTCTCAGCAACAGCCAGAGCACAGCATCCTTTGGGCTTTTCACAGCTGCTTGAGCAAAGCAAGGGACCAAAGACCAGTTTGGGGATGTTACTCCGAGTCCTCTTCCACCACCCCCATCCTGGTCCCACCTCTGAGCCTCTGGCTGTTGTCCTGGCTGTGTTTATAGGGAGATAGCTGCTTTCTTATTTATTATTTATTTTTACAACTGGAACCACCTTTGCTGTGTTACTGAAGCGAGCGACGCACAATGGTCTGTTCTCATTACCGACGTAACGTTGTCATTACAAAATAAAGTGTAAACAGCAAAACACCCTGGCAACATGGGCTGGGTCTTTATTTTTCTGGTTGTGGACTTTCAGTTAAATTTTACGTTCTAATTCTGGATGCTTTGCAAAGCTGCTTGTGTTGGGTGACTCAGGGGGCATTGCCAGTCACTTTAAAAGTGACAAAGTGACAGTGTCAAGAGCAGAGGGGGCAGGGGGAAGATTTTGAGGCATGAAGATTTGTGGTATTTGGGTTATCAGAGAAAACGGAATGGTTCATAGAAAACATGAAAGCAGAAGTGAAATTTTGAATATAGGAGCTACCAGTACTGCTTGTATTGTTCATAATTTCTGAGCCCTTTACATGACTGCAATTCCCAATATCTGCTCAGTATTATTAAAAACACAAATGTCATAAAATTGAGAGGATTCAGGGAATAAACCCTGCCTGTGGGTCACTGACATAAACAATGCTTGATTTTTGTCAGTGACACACCTGATGATTGAATTCATTGACAAGGAGGAAACTCTCTGAGGTTAAAAAAAAATCCTATTCCTGTGCAGAGTGCAGTGAGGTCTGAGCAGCTCCCTCAATGCTCTGGGGGAGGAGGGGAATTTTGTATGGAAAGAGCTTTCCATGGAAGCACCCAGGGCTGGAGAGGAGCAGCCCAGTGCAGCTCGAAGAAGTGCTTGGAATAAAAACTCAACTGAAATATGGTTTTATTTCTGTTGCCTTTTTTCTATTTATTGCATGTTCTAGAAGCCAAAATTAACTGGCCTGCGTCAGCAGAGGAGAGTGCGAGGGGATTGAGGAGGAGGAGCTGGAATTACAGGGAATAACTTGGAATGTGCATGTTCCAAGGTGTCACTACGAGCTCAAGCCACCCCCTGCCACTCAAATGCATTTTACAGGCAGCTGCAGCTGCAGCAGAAGCTCCTGACCCTGTGACACAGCCATGCAGGGCCCAAGGATCAGCAGGCACTGTAAAACACATGGATTCTGCTCCATGCCCACATATCCAGGGGAAAGCAGGTTGAGCTTCCCCTCACCTTTCATCTCCTTTTAAATTAAGAATGGCCCTGTCTTACAAGCCAGGTGATTTGGGATCGTAGCAGTTTGCATCTCTATCTGATCTTTGTCAGTGTCAGAGGGAAGAAACGAGCTGGAAAGTATCCAGGAAATATTTAAATTACTTGTTAGGAAAGAGAGCAGTAAAGCAGACTAGAAGCAGCCAAAATCAAAAATAACATCGTTGTTACCTTTTTTTTTTTTTTAACTGCAGCTTCTGAATGAAAAATATGAATACTTTGTCTTGCACACCTTGAAGTTAATTTAAAACTGATTCTCCGTTTAAAAAACTAAATTAAACAGGCCAACAACAACAACAACAAAATTAACAAGTAAAAATATAGAATTAAAACCTTTTTGAGCTTTCTTTAGAAGGAAATGTGAGGCTGTGTGCCTTCTTGCTGCATCATATATGGCCCAAGCTGAGCCTCAGCTTTGGTGGCAGCTCTCAGACCCCACAGCTGATCCTGACAATCCCATTTGCAGCCCAGTTTCCTCTGACATGCTTCCCAAAGAGAAAACCCAGTCACTAAAAGCCAGCCTTGCATCCAGCTGCGCCGGCTGCCAAAACCCAGCAGTCATACAACAAAACCTTAAAGCCTCGGGGAGGGATAAAATAAAAAAACCAACCCAAAAAACCACATTTGAGACAGAGGAGCCAAAGCTTCCCTCATCCAGCTGTGGTCACTCCCAATAAACCCAGGCTGAAGTTTCCCAGGGAGGAGGCTGTTGCAAATTTGGAAGCAGCTGAGGGGATTTGAGCTCTGGGAAGCCACCGTGGGGGCTGGCACTGCCCTGCCCCACAGGCTGTGAACATGAACTTGCTCCTGGGCCAGGTTTCCATGAGCCAGGATGGAGAGGGGTGGATTTATTTGGTGGAAAAAAAAGCTGTTTCCCTGTGCCCTGGGAGCTGGAGCATTCCCAGCAGCAGCTCAGGGACTCCTGCAGCCAGAAGATCCCTGCTCCAGGGGGACCAGGCAGCTTTGGGGTGGTCTTAGGACATGGACATGGATGCAGGAGTGCACTCAGACAAGGATTTAGGCAGGCAGGTGTGCAGATATTTAAATTAGGAATTATGAGCTTTTAATTTTTCCATGGATACACCCATCTGACAACAGGCTACATGTGTGTACATCTGAAATTTACTTCTCTTTTTAAAGAAAGGCTGTGAAGGAACACTGTAAGGTGTTGTTTGGATATGTTTCTTGAGAAGCTTAGCTGCATGTGTGTACATCCATCATTTACTTCTCTTTTTCAAGAAAAGCCATGAAGGAAGGCTATAAAATATTCTCTGGGTATGTTTGTGGAGGAAGCTCGGCTGCATGGGTGTACATCTGTGGGAATCCAGGGCTTCCCTCTGGCTGCCCTGGCTGCCCTGGGACCATGGCAGGGGGTCAGGAACCCCCCTGGACAGAGCCCTGAGAGACACTGTCTGTGATCTCTGTCCATGGAAAAGAGTTTTCAATCTTACAGGATGAATTACCAGCTCTGAGTGTTTGATATAAGTAATAATTAAGTGTGGCACGGGTGCAAAAGTAAAATTTTAGGATTCTAGATGAGGGGTCCAAAGGGGACAAGATGGAGGAATTGGGTGTGTATTGTCCTTTTTCTCCTTCTTCATGCCCTCCATGTTTCACTGTGGTGTTGGCATTTTTCTGTTGGTTCAGGCTGGGGACACACTGTCCAACGTAGGTGACAGATATTGGCACGTTATTGTAAATCCAGCACAGGTAGTTTCTGGTATGTAATGTTTGTACCATCCCACTGAGGGCAGAGCCCCACACGCTGCCCTGCAGGACAGAGCTGCGGCAGGGCAGCAGAACATGTTAGAGATAAACAGAATAAACAACCTTGAAACCAGCACAGACCAATTATGGCTTCTTCTTTGGCAGCGGGGCAGAAAGACAGAGACTTTCTACAATCTCAGAATCATCAATAGCACAGATTCCAACATACATCCATGATTTATTTCTCTTTTTCAAGAAAGGCCATGAAGGAAGGCTGTAAAATGTTATCTGGGTACGTTTTGGAGGAAGCTCAGCAGCAGAGAGGATGCACGGAGCCATTTCAAACACGCCAAACGCCTCACCCCACGTCCTGCAGCACTCTGCCAGCCCCGGGCCAGCCAGCAGGGAGGGAGCAGCTGGATGGCATCGCTCTGCAGCTCCCACTTGAAGGCCTTTGCCTGAATGAGGTGCCAGAACTCACAGCTGATGTGCCCCCTCTTGGCTCGCCCTCCCCTGAACAGGCAGCTGAATGCCAAAGTTGCCAATCCAGTCCAGCTGCGCACAAGGATTTGTGCCCTTGGGCTGCCTCGGGAGCTGAGGAAGAATGAGAGGTGATTTTCAAGCTTTCTGCTGCTGCTGGGGCACTGAGGGCAGTGCTGGGGTCTGCAGCCAATGTGGGGAATGGATTTGTAGGGAATTCTCAAAACCTGGCAGAAGGCTCACATAGTGTGCATCTGTATGCAAACATTGAGATAAGAAATGTTGGCTTAGAAATGCCCTGGAATGAGACAGACATGGTTGAGAGAGAAACGGAGCTAGAAACAAATTTCAAAGGTTGGCCTTGCAAAAAAGACTAAATGCTTTAGGGAAATAGAACTATGAAAGATCCATTGTAGTAGGACTTATGAGGGGCAATTTTAGATGATTGGCTTTAAGGCATTTACAGCATGGTGTAGCAAAAAGCTGATAGGCCAAGAAACACTTATAACGCATTGTAATTAAGAAATAATTGTCTTCTGATTGTGATGGTGTGAATTATAACATCTGTATTGTCTCACCCTTCACATGAGACTGAAAACAGAATAAAAATTTTTAAAATGTTCCTCAGTTGCCCCATCTTTGGGTCAGAAAAGGGCTTAATCCAACAGCCTTCCTGCCTCCCCAGGGCTGGGCTGCCTGTGCTAGAGGGGAGCTGGGACATGGCATAGCCACAGCCTTGGGGGAGGATGGGGATGAGAAACAGCTGGGAAAAATCCTGCTGGAGATCCATCAGCCCTTCTTGGGAAAGGCATCTAAGCTCAGGTGCTCAGCCCAACTCCTTTTCTGACTTGTTTTGGCCACTCTGGGCTGTTTTAAATGGATCTGCCCTGCTCTCTTTGCCCAGGACTGGGATGTGCTACCCTGCATGGTGAGGTCCCTGCCTACCTCCTTGTTGCCCTCAGCTCTCCTTTCCAGCTGGCAAAAATCCCTTTTTTAGTGGTGATGAGGATTGAGCAGCAGTCTAAAAAACTAGAAAATGAAGTTTAAAACAATGTAAAAATACTCCAGAAAAGGCATAGATATGTGGGATGTGGTTCAGTGCTGCACTTGGCAGTGATGGATGATGGTGGGACTCAATGACTTTGGAGGTTGGACTTAATGACCTTGGAGGTATTTCCAAACCTAAATGGTTCTGTGAGAAGTGGTTGATGCTCCTCCATGGGTAGCATCACCTGCCATCCTTCTGTGGACTATTTTCCAGGGTTGTGTCCCAGCACTGAAAGTCACATCAGCATGGCCGAGCACATAAAAGCCTGGGATATTCCCACTTGGAAATATAATAAGAAAGCATGTGAAGGGAACATGAAGAGAAAAACCTCATCCTACTATTCATAGCTCCTTTTAAAAATGATTTTGCCCTTGTCAGGCAGTTTTTGTTGCCACATTTTGCTCCGTGTTTATTTGTGGCTGCTGGGAGGACAAGGATTCTCAGGAGATGTCATCTCAGGGGATGGGATGCAAAAATGGGTGTAAGTCCATCAGAATGGAGGAAAAAGGAGATTTGCTTAGCTGTGCCCTTGATTTCCCTGCTGTTTGTGTCTCAGCAGCTCATCTCCTGAGTCCCTGGGTGCGTGGGGGCAAATAATGACTCTGCAGAGGCACAAATACAGCAGGAACTCCATAACCCAGAGACTACAGAATGGTGGTGGAGAGGAGCTCTGTTACTCCCATGCTTTGGAAACCTTTGAGACCTTTTCATTCCCTGGAAACTACCTGTTGTATGGACTCATAGTTCAAACTTATGGCTCTGTGAGAAACAGTTTGGATCAGGAAAGCACTAGCAGCAAACCTTTCTTCACTGGGATGCAGGCACAGGACACTCTGCCACAGCCCTGCTGGTTGCAAACACCTCATTCCCACCACTGTAGGGCTGGGATTCCTACCATCCTAGGGATTTTAATCTTCCCACCATAAGATAATAAATGATTTTAATTAAACCAGCGAGCTGAAGAAGGCTCTTGTACTTGGGTGGGTGGGCGATGTGATGTTATATTGGCTTTTTTTTGGGTGTGTGTGTGTCTTTTGGCTTTTTTTGGATGTCTTTACTGGCTTTGAAGCCGAGATGTGCCGTTCCTCTGGTTGTCTGTTTTGCAGCCTGCAAATGGGTGCTTAAACACCAGCAGCTGCAGCTACAGCCCTGGTCAAACTGGGAGAGAAATTTCCCGTGAATTAAAATGAGATCCAGACATCCATGGGACAGACTGGAGATTGCCCCTGAGTTTTCACAGTCACTGTCCATTTGGGGCTGTGTCAAGGCCTCCTGTGGCAGCACAAACCCTGCAGAATTCCATGCAGAGACCGTGGGATGTTCCCAGAGCCTGTGGATGCTGTGGGAAGCAGAATGCCCAACACCATGATGAGGTACAGGGATGTGACTCCTGCAGAGGCAGAGTTTAGTGAGAGCTGGCGTGGAGATGTGAGCAAAGGATTGGGATATCCATGGAAAACACACACTGGGCTGCATCCACCCCACCCTTTAAGGGCTTTTCTGTGCCCTGTGCCTGTATCAGGCCATGCCTCCATGTGCACACGCAGATTCCCAGTTTGTACATGTGCCCAGGCACCATGGAAAGTCAGGAATTATTTGACTGATACAATTCCAGCCCCGTTTCAGGTGTGAGCTGCATCCTGCTGCTGGCACAGTGCAGTGGAGATGGCTGGGGGAACTGCACAGGTATAGAAATATAGGAAATGAAATGCATCAAAATCAATGAACTACTGTGTTTATTTTCTGCTGAGCAGGGAAATAAACAATCCAAAAACCAATCTTTGGCTTTCCCGAGGGTAAATTCATGTAAATTTATACTTTGCTTTCATACCTTAAGACTTCTCTATCCCTTTCTTGATTTACTTAGGTAATTTATTTCCAGTTCAGCTTGTCAGGCGGTAACTCCTGAAAGTGCTGATCAGAAAATTTATGGCTTCTTATCAGAAGAAGTTAATTTCTTCAGGCCTTGCTCAGACCTGAAGACGCCAGAGGATTAAAGGAAACAGTTGACATACAACAGACAGAGTTTCTTGTTTAGAATAGAATGTATGCATAACCATAAAGGATATATGAATATGCAACAAGTGTATTGTTTTAAGGGTGATTTCTTTGTTCACAAGTCATGCTTTGACTTAGTGTCAGAGCATCCTGACATCGTAATTCTTTGCTTTTTATTGTCTTGTAATTGTCCTAACTCTAAACTTTATTACTCTAACTGTATTATTATTTTTATAACCATTTTATTATTATTAAACTTTAAAAAATTTAAAAAACAAGTGATTGGTGTTTTTCACACTGGTGAGGGAAGAGACATGAGAAGTGCTTTGATGGCAAATGATGGAGGAAAGCAGTGCTGCCTCCCCCCAAAAATCATTTGGGGCTTGCCCAGAGCACAGGGAAGGATGGCTGAGTGAGGATTTGAGATCTCCTTGACGTTGAAACAGTTTGGGGGCTGCAGAGTAGGGGTGACATGTCTCACTATGGTTCTGTGGCAAGGCTGGGTGGCAGAAATGGGAGGTGGTTTTTTTTTGTTTGTGGTTTTTTTTTTTTTTTTTTTTTTTTTAATACAGGCTCATTAGGAGGTTTGTCCTCAAATTTCTTTGGACACCCTTTACTAGTTCAGCTTATGCATTTCTTACCTGCCAAACTGAAGCATTCTCAACCACATCCATGGATGATTGAGAAAATAAAGTGGAAATTTTTTTTTTTTCTAGAAAAAGCAAGATGGGCCAGGCTTTGTGCCTGCCTAGGCAGCTTGTCCTGGGAGTTCCCTGTTGACAGTGCCACAGTGATGCCTGGTGATGGCAGATGGGTCCCTGCCTGCCACCACCCAGCCCTTCTCAAACCGTGTCTGTACATCCCTGAAAATAAAACCATAGGAGAGGAGGTTTTTTCTACATTTACAGGTGTTTTCCTCGCCAATTTCTGTGCTTTTTAAAAGGCAACAAAACAATTTTTTTTTTTGACAACTCAAAAGCAAGTTTTTACCTGAAGGTTTGAAAAGCAAGACCTTTAGAGAAAGGTCATTGGTGAAAGCATAAGGTGCAGAAAAGTGTCCTGGGAGCTGGTGTGGACATCAGCACAGTCAGAAACAGCTATTTTGGGTCACACATTTTGTCCCCCACATGCCAGGCAAGCTGAGGGATTTTTTTTTCTGCCTGGCTCCTGTTAAAAATGTTCCTGTTTTTTTTGACCCCATGTCTCACTTGTCCCTGTGAGATGCAGCAAGCAGCGGGGGATTGGGGAGAATTGTCCCGGGGACACTCCCTGAGGGATTAATGTCCATTCTGGAGAGATCAGAGTCTTTTCTACGTGTCCAGAGCAACTCCCAGTGCAGTCACCCTCTGAGTGCAGTTAAACACGGGCTGTGCTGCCTGGGTCTCTCACAAGCCTTGCAGAAGTTTGCACTGATATAAACACAGAATAATTTGTGTTGGAAGGGACCTTTCAAGGCCATCGAGTGCAGCCCCAACACCTTCCACTAGACCAGGCTGCTCAGAGCCCCATCCAACCTGATCCTGAATATTTCCAGGGATGGGGCTGCTACAGCTTCTCTGGGCAACTTATACCAGTGTTTTACCACCCTCTAGTGTAAAAACCGACTTCCTATCTCTAATCTGAATCGGTTTAAATGTGACTCTCTCTGCTCCATGAAGACCATGGCAAACACTGTCCTTGTCCTGGATAACTCCACTGAACACAAGGTTTCTGGTTTATCACCAGCTTGGAATACATGTGTTTTTTGGGGGTTTTTTTTTGGTGGGGTTTGTTTTTTTTTTTTTTTTGTGACTTTTGCATTAAAACAACTATGTTTGAGAAGGTCCTGGAAGAGCAGTGAGGCTCTGTAACAAGGTGGAGAGCCAAGCTGAAGGCTGGATGCTGTCCATGGGAATAGCCAAGGGGTGAGGTGGTTTGAGCTCCGGGCATGGCTTGGCATTCCTGGGGCACAGGGCTCTGTCACCTCAGCCCTGCTGCAGAGCAGGAGCTCAGGCACCTGCCTGGAGGCATCCAAATCCTCGAACTCTGCTGCTTTTTAGCCAGAACTTGACAGTGATAAATGAGAGGGAGCAGAACAGCAGCTTGCTGACGCCCACTCATCCGTCAAAGCGAGATTAGTATGTGCCTATTTTGGTTTCCCCTTTAATCAAAAATCAATTAGACAATTTCCAAATGAATATTCAGCCAAGGAGCAGGCTGTCAGGCAGACTGACAGCGCTCAGCATCACTGTGTGTTTTCCAGTTTAGAGTTTTTCAGTGTATTGAAACTAAACAAGGGGATGAGGAAGAAAAAACATCTCTTTCCCTGGAGATGTCATCTCAAACCCTGATGGAGCTTATTCTCCATTCCAGATATTCAAAGCACCCTCCATAGAATGCCAGTGTGCCTGGTGTTTGGCTGTACAGTTGCTCTCTTTTTCCTGCTCCCATTTGGCTTGCAGCCTGAAAGATTGGGGGTTTTTATTTCTGTTTCAGGGGGTGTGCTTGAGTATTTTTAACTTGGCTATTGAAATAAATAGGAATTATGCAACAGTTCTTTGCTTTGGAAGTCTCTGTGCTCATTTCCCTATTCACCAAAGAAAATTTTTTAAATCCTGCTGGACAGTATTGACTGATCTTGACAGGAAGAAAAAATATTCCAGTCCATTTTCCCAGCAGGCCTGCACCACATACACCCTCAAAGACATGTGAAGGAGGGGATCTTTCCAGAGGAATTTAAAAGATGTCAGGTCTGGGTGTTTCTGCACTGGAAGAATGTGAGTAGAGGGAATGGCCACCAGCTTCTTGGGACCGGGGATCTTGTGTATTTTGGAGGGGGTGAAGAGGCTGGAACCCTGCCCTCATTGTGGCCCCGGGAGCTCCGGCCCCCCTTGGGCTCCTGAGAGCTCCTCTCCTCCTGTTGGAACCAGGAGCTCCTGTCCCCCTTGGTGAGCTGAAAGCTCCTGATGGATCCCAGAGCTCCTGATCTCCTGACCTCAGTAGGCCTGAAGGGTCCTCATCACCTTCTAGGTGCAGAACCTGCGTGAGAAACACCGGGCACAGCGAAGCTCCAAGGAGACAATTCCAGCTGAGCTCCTGGGGAGCATCTGGTCTGCATTTTCAGCATGGCAGAGGAACAAGTGGCTGGAGATGAAGGGTGGCATCCCCAGGGCCTCCTCCACCTTGGGAGAAAGGGGATGGATAGGTACCTCCTCCAGAAGTACATCAGGATGGGGAAGAGGGTGACCTTGGCGTTGTGGTAGATGGCCCGGGTCAGTGGCCCCTTGGAAGATGAACGGCAGATTAAATCCCTGCCTTTCTCAGAGATGTTGACCTGGGCACAGAAGAGACCAAAGCACTTTGCAGCACTCCTGATGGGGCCAGGTTTCTCTCCCTGACCCCACCTCAGCAGTCTCTAAGCAGAGACCCAAATTCCATCCTGCCTGCTTGCCCCAGGCACAAGGGCAGGATCCCACCTGGATTTCTGGGGGAAGCATTGTGCCCTCCAAAGGGGAGATGGCAGAGCTACTGGGAGGAGATGGGCTGGTTGCACTGGGAGGGGATGATGGTGACACTGGCCTCTGAGGAGTGAAAGGAGTGGACTGATGGTGTGCAGGATGATCCTGGCACTCCAGGCTTAGTGTTCCTCCAGCAGATAATACTGGAGAATCATCCCCATCTTTCCCATCCTTATCCACATGCTCGTTCTCAATTTATCAGGGCTTCTGGGGGGTTTCTTCCCACCCCTCCCAGCCCACGTGGGAGCCCCAGGCTCCAGAGCACACCCCAAAGCTGCCCCAGCAGATCCAGACCCAAGCCTGTTCCTCTTTCTTCACCACTGTTCCCAGCTGTGCTGCAATGGCCTCGAGCAATGAGCAGCCTCCAGCCTTCCTGGGAGTCCTGGGGTCTCACCCACAACTTGGGAGGGGATGTCAGAATTCAGGAAAAGTTTGCTGATGATGGCAAGTTTCCTTTTGAGAAAGGCAACGTGCTTTTCTGACTGCATGTTGCGGGGTGCCACAGCTTCCTCGCAGTCAGCCAATCTGGAAAACCTGCAAAGGCATCTGGGGTCTTGCTCTGAGACAAGTGCTGCTCAACTGCTAGGCTAGACAGTCCTGTTCTTGCTTAATTTGGTGCGGGAAATGCATTTGTAGAAAATTCTTAAATTCCTTTGGCCTTGCAAAGGAATTTAGAGAAATAGAACTGTGAAAGACGCATTGTAGTAGGACCCACAGGGGTAATTTTAGATGATTTGCTTTAAGTCATTTGCAGTATGGTGTGGCAAAAGCTGATAGGCCAAGAAACACTTATATTGTAATTAAGAAATAGTTGGCTTCTGATTGTGATGGCGTGAATGATAACATCTGTATTGTCTCACCCTTTACATGAGACTGAAAATGGAATAAAAATTTCTAAAATGCCTCTCAGTTGCCCCATGTCTGGGTCAAAAAGGGTTTAATCCGACAATTTGGTATTTGCTTGGCCAGGGAAAGCAGTCCTCAAAGTGTGGAAGAGTGACACAGGAGGTATGAAAAGCCACCTCCCACTTCTGCCACCCTCATGGTCACAGGGTTCACCTGGGGCAGGTGGTATTCTCCCCTTTTTGGAAAAAGAGGACTGAAAGATGGAGATTTGCCTGTTGTGGGGGTGTTGGCTGCAGGGCTGGAGTCCAATGGCTGTGGATTGGTCTTACAGGTTTGTTGGGAATGTGGACAAAGTCAAGGGAGAAATGCCACCACAACTGGGACATCCAGAACAGTGTAGCCAAATGCTGAATCGCTTGGGACTACCAAATCAAAAGGATTTCAAACAGGAACCCTGAGCCAGGGGATGACTGCAGGCTGAAATGGGGGCTTTGGAGGTCTCCATCAGAAATAGGTTCAGGCCAGAGCCAAGGCAGGCTGGTGCCAAGGCCAAGTTGGGTGAAGCTCTGAGCAACCTGATCCAGCGGGACACGTTCGTGCCCAAGGCAGGGAGTTGGAATGAGATAACCTTTAAGGTCCCTTCCAACCCAAACCATTCTGGGATTCTGCAGTGGTACCCGAGCACTTGGTGGAACAAGAACTTACTTGTCCATCTCCAGGTGAAAGTGGAGGTTATCAACAAGGAAGTTGACAACAATGAGCTGTTTGTCCAAAATGCGGCCTCACCTTCTGCAGCCGGCCTTTGCCCTTGCCCGTGTGGGAATGGGGGCTCTTGGCAGGACTTCTGCTCTTCTTCTCCTTGACAGGCAAGTCTGAGGCAAGGAAAGAGATGCTGTGTGCTGCTGCCCAGCACTGGGTTTGCTGCTTCACCTCACCTGGGCTTCATGCAATTTGCTGGGGGCTTTTCTACCTCTGTGAACTGCACCTTCCCTCTAGCTCGGTGATCTCCTCCTTCCCTCCCCCTCTTTGCACCCACAGAGAGTTTATGTTCACTGTTTCCTGCTGCTCTGTCTAGCTGTTGGCCCTGGCTCTGACACAGCCCAGAAGCAGATAATGAGTGAGGATGAAAGGGAAAAAAATCTGTTTCCTTCATATACAAAATTCTCTTGCTCTAAATAGGGTTTCTGTGTGTTTAGTAGATTATTTTTCTAACTGCTTTTCCTGCCTTCTCTCAAACCTGTGTGTAAACTTTCTGTTCAGGTCAGCTCCCTGTTGCCTAGAAAACAATTTCCTTTTGCTTGTTTTTCTGGCCTGTCTCACCTTAGCTCCATTTAGTGTTTCCTGTTTTGGGTGGTTGTTTTTTTGTTGGATTTTTTTTTTGAGGCAGGGATGCAAACTTGCATATACAACATTGTTTGAGAGAGATGCAACAGCATAACAGGGCTCTAAGTCATGGTGGTGGAAGGTAAAGGACAGGTTTTCTCCATTTTTCTTCTCTTCCTCATCATCCTCATCCTCCTCATCAAACCAGCCAGATGGGAGAGCAGAGAGAGCATCAAGGGCAGCCAGAGGCATGAGGAGGGCACTGGTTTGATGGAAGGGGGGCTAAGGTGGGGAGCAACTGATAAGGGATAGCCCCAGGGTTTGGGTCCCACTGGATTTCTGTTCCTGGAGGAGGCTGGACAATGGTAGAGGGCACTAGGTACCCTCCCCTGGACTCTCTTCTTGTACGTGGTAGCCTTGGGAGTGTCTGTCCTGCTTATCTGCAGTGTTTCCTCCTCCGGTCCAGCAGCCTGCAGGCCCAGAAGTGGTTTGGTAGGTTTGGGGTGAGGGTCTGGATGGAATATCAATGCTGATGGCTCACAGAAAAATGCATTTTTAGCAGTGGCTGTCTGGCTCCTTGGGGTGGGATGGATGTTGGGCAGGGTGCATTTGCATAACTGGGCTGAAGAAATCAGCTCAGCCCAGGTGCTCAGCATTGTTTTTCCATTCACTTTGTATACCAGTGTGAAGCTGCAAGCACTCATGGCTGGAGTATTCCCAGGAGGTGAGACATGAGTCCAGAGATTTAAGTATGGCTACAGTGTGATTTTAAGTGATTTTTCTGGGAATCTAAGCACTGCTCAGGTGCCATTCCATGGGCTGATTGAAGATGAAGTGCATGAAATTTGCACAAGGTGTGAAGAGTAAATCCGCACTGGGGGTGTGTTAATTTTTCTCCTTTCCCTGGTAATTCTGCAGTTTAGACCCACAGGCTACCCTACATCTGAGAGGGCCAAATGAGCAAACAGGGAGCAGTGGCACTACAGGGGAGCTCTGGGAAAAGCCTGAAAGAGTGGAAGGGGCAAAGCTGTGTGCTGCCAGGTGCCAGACCTGTGTTTTCTAGCTGCCTTCTTCCTTACAGCAGCAGCAGCAGCATTCTCTCGAGCAATCCTCTCAGATGCAACAGCTGTGGGGACAGAAACAGGGCTGACCACTTCCTCAGGTGTCCAGGTGAGAGCCTGCAGACAGCTGGACCCTGGAGCCTCCATGTGGTGTCTCTGTGGTGACTCTGGCCCAGGAGACACTGTGGGAGCTCTTCACTACTGGGATATTGGGACACACAAGACAGATGATGGACTTTGGACCTAGTTAGCATGAGAGATTTGATAACAGCATGCCTTGGTAAGAGCAAACAGAACTTTGAGGATTAAATCAAATTGCAAAGATGATTCAGTCAGATGGGTTTACTGGAAACAGAAAATTACATCACACTTCTGCAAGCAAGAGATGTTTAACATGTATAAGTTTGTTTATGTGACGATTAACTCAATCACTGTAGTAAAATATTACTAGCCTTCCTAAAATGGTATATAAGCTTCTGTAGTCCACAATAAAATTGGATTCTTTGACCACCTCACAGTCTCCCCATCTCTCTCATCATTGCGGATACTTTACCTCTCATGGTCTGACCTCTTCATCTGCTTCAGAGAAATCCCCCACTGCCACCCTCCCTGGCTGCATTAATACCCCAGAGCACAGCCTGTGGGGGGTGGATAGGCCTTTCCTTCTGGACAAGCTCCCCAAGGGTGATGGATGTTTGGGAGCCCACCTGGCCTCTCACCTGCCCAGCCTGGACTCACCGAGTGCTGCACTCATGAGCTGCAGAAGCTCCTCTTCCTTGCTTGGGTGTGGGAATCCAGGGCTTCCCTCTGGCTGCCCTGGCAGGTCTGGGACCCTGGCAGGGGTCAGGAACCTCCCTGGACAGAGCCCCCAGAGACACTGTCTGTGATCTCTGTCCATGGAAAAGAGTTTTCAATCTTACAGGATGAATTACAAGCTCTCAGTGTTTGATATAAGTAATAATTAAGCGTGGCACGGGTGCAAAACTAAAATTTTAAGATTCTAGATTAGGGGTCCAAAGGGGACAAGATGGAGGAATTGGGTGTGTCTTGTCCTTTTTCTCCTTCTTCATGCCCTCCATGTTTCACTGTGGTGTTGGCATTTTTCTGTTGGTTCAGGCTGGGGACACACTGTCCAACATAGGTGACAGATATTGGCACGTTATTGTAAATCCAGCACAGGTAGTTTCTGGTATTTAATGTTTGTAACATCCCACTGAGGGCAGAGCCCCACACGCTGCCCTGCAGGACAGAGCTGCGGCAGGGCAGCAGAACATGTTAGAGATAAACAGAATAAACAACCTTGAAACCAGCACAGACCAATTATGGCTTCTGCTTTGGCAGCGGGGCAGAAAGACAGAGACTTTCTACAATCTCAGAATCATCAATACCCACAGATTCTGACACTTGGGCTGCCCACAGCCAGCTCATCTGCTATCATCCTCTGGAACTCTGCATCAGAGAGAGGAGAGGGGACAGACCCCATGTCCATTATCTCTGGTTACAACAGCCCTTCAGCACTGGCTCTGAGGGCTGTGTTTTGTCACCTTCCCTGTCCCCTTGTGTGTCCTGCTCCATGATCTACCCCTGACACTGCATTTCTTGGGTAAAACTGAGGGCCCACAAGCTACAGGGGTGCTACAGGTGACTGCTGTCACCCTCAGTGCAGAAAATTGGTGTCATTCCCAAAAGATTGCATGACAGAACAAAGCTGAGGGCCATAGCACCAGCATGGCCAATCCCAGCATCCTCAGAAGGCCAAAATGTGGAACTGAGGGGGGAGGAGCCACTGCTGGCTTTGGGCTTCAGCCACTTTGCTGTAGCCTTCATTTGACCTGGTGATCCAGGTCAGTGCAGGGCTGTGGCATTTGGTGCCCCTGGTACTGGCAGGAGGGAATCTGGCCCTTGTCTAGAATCCTGCTGGACAGTTTTGACTGATTTTGACAGGAAAGAAAAGCTGTCAAAGCTTTCATTACACACGAAGGCTCCCAGCCCCACTGTACCAACCCACCCCATGATGTCCATCACCTGTTTAGTTATACCTCCAGAGCATAAGACATGCTTTACTGCCTTCAGCCAATGTGAGCCCCACCAGGAATGGAGACCCCCTCTCACAAGTGCTGCCAAGGAGCTGCTCCAGCTCTGCCTGGATGGAGCCCCCTTTCTGCAGGTCCCGAGCAGCAAAAAATTGCCAGTGCTTGGAGGAGACCCCCTGTCCTGGCTTGTAGGATAAGCATGTATTCTATTGCCATCTGTTGGAGGTTGGGCAGTTTTCTTATCTCTCCCAAGAACAATGTCTCCCTCTGGGGAGGTATCTTCTGTTAATGGGCCATGGAATGACTCACTTCATGGCTGGTAAAGTTCCATCAGCCCATTGTGAGATGCTCCACCCAAGGGAGGAGGAGGGAGGAGCCAAGCATTCTTACCTGCATAAAATCAGCATTTTTTGAGACTCAGGTCAGCCACTTTGCTGGATTTCCAGAGAAGCAGCTCTTTTCTCTGCTGAATTCCCAGAGGAAGACCAGGCCCAACTACTACCAGACCTTCAGAGTTAACTCCACCCTTCTAGAGATCACCACTTCAGCAGCATTTCATCTGCCACGCCAGGAGGAGCAGCCACCATTTTAACTGGACTATTACCAACACTCTGACTCTTCAGGGTGTCAGGTTTCTGACTCTATCATGAGTTTTGTTTGTACTGATTACATTTTTTTATTATTATTTTTTTTATTTAGTTTTTCTCCTAATAAAGAACTGTTATTCCCATTCCCATATCTTTGCCTGAGAGCCTTTTTTTTAAATTGTGGTGATTCGAAGGGAGGGGGTTTACATTTTCCATTTCACAGGAGGCTTTTGCCTTCCTTCACAGACTCCTGTCTTTTCAAACCAAGACACCCCCTCCAAACTCCTTATGCCATGCAAGACCTGGCTCAGCTGCAGGGACTGGTTCATCCTCTGGGACAGGTGGAAATGTCCCCCTCAGCCTGGCACCTCGGCCATTGGGACATCCGTGCCTGGTGGTGAGAACGGGGCAGGGTGATGGCACAGAGCACCTTCAGCACCTTCTCCATCTCCAGCACTGCGCCCATCATGCCTCAGGGTTCAGCTTTTATGTTTTTCACATTCTGGGCTGCTTTAGTGTGTGGGTCTGGGCTTCATACAAGGGGATGTTGAGCTCTCTTCACAAAGTAGGGAAACAAAACAATTCCTTCTCTGGATGGGGACCAAGGACAAATGATCCAAATCTCAGGCCCAAGAGCACAAACAACGTGGGCTGAAGAGAGAAAAAAACAAGAAGGATGGGACTGCCTGGGCTAAAGCTGGAATTGGACAATGAACTCAAATATGCAAATGGACCAGAACTTATAAAAGTGTCATACCCCGTGACCAGTGGTCCATTTTGTGGCCATTTTAGGTTGTGATGCCCAAAGTGGATCTATTTGAGGCCTCTTAATAAATCCCTTTATTCTTTAACTCAGTCTAATCTCTGTCCCAGGTCAGCCTTCACAAGGCATTACCCACGTGTTTTACTGTGCCTCAGAATGCAAACCTGCCCAGCTTAGACCTCTGCTTGAGCTTGAAGCAGTCTGGAAGGAATCTGTGAGAGCACAAAGCTCAGCTCCAGCAGGCTGGGATGTACAGGCAGCCAGAGGTAGTCCAGACACGGCCTTGCAGCTTTCCTGAAGGGCTCAGCATCCCCTCAGGAGGGCTGGAAACCACCCTGAAGGTGTCCCCAGCAGCCTGGCAGCCTCGTGTGCTGTTTTGTTGGCTTTTGTCACCGGGGCTGGCTCCAGCTGCTGCCCTGGGAGTAGCTCCCACATTCCCCCCGAAACCCTGCTGCAGGTTTTGTCTCTCCCCACAGACAGTTCACACAGCTCGCCAAGCAGCAGGGGTAGAGTGGCTGGTTTCTGGCTGGCAGCTGAGAGGCAGGCACCAAAAATAACCCTAAATAACGCTGCAAAGCCGCCAGCAGCTCCCCTGACAGCGGAGCAGAGCGCTGGGAGGAGTTTGGCCCAGGGCATGGTGCCCACAGAGAGCAGGGCCCTGGTGCCCGCTGAAGTGCTAATTGCACTCCCAGACCAGCTCTGGCCTCCGAGGGGAGATTTCCCTGACAAGAGGTGCCTAAAAACCTGGGCAGCTAATTAACTTCCCACTAAGAGCAGTTTAATGAGTCAGGGTCAGGAGCTGCCAGCTGACTTTTCCAAAATGCTCAGCTCTCCCTGGCTGAGTCTCTAGGAGCCAGGTCTTTCAGGATACCAAGCCCTGGCAGCCTCTCCTTAACATTTTCAGGATCAGTTGCTGGTTTTACACAGTTGGTTTGAAGAACATCATCTGCAGTGAGAAAATTTCCCCACATAGGTTGTGCAGGTACCAGTGCAGGTGGGATGCTCAGAGGGTTCTGCCTGCAAGGAGGTTTCTGGGTGTAATGCTGGAATTTGGGGAGGTTTTATGGGATTTCTGATGCCAGGAGGAATAATAGTCTGAGAAGAGAGCTTGTGTGACTCTGATTTCTTATCTCATCTTTTTTGGTGGAAAAAAATATGTGGAAAACTTGAGGGTGGTTGAGTCACAGGCTAAAAGGCTACATGGCCTCTTCCTCCCTGTGCTGGCTAGGCACTGGTGCTGGGGCAGGGTCATCCCATGTGTTTCATGCACATGAATCACATTAATAACAGTAATAATTACACATTAATAGCGTGGGCATGGAAAAGAAGGGGAGATAAATTCCCAGAAGTGCTGTGCTCACCCGTGACTACCATAAAAGCCTGCAATTATGTTTCTCCCAGCTTTTAGGCAGGGTCACAGCTTGTCCCAGGGGAGCTCTTGCAGGTTGTGCCTGCAGTGCTGCCAGCTGAATGGGATGCTGTGCTGGAAGAGTTAAGGATCATTGCTCCAGGCAGCTGGAGCAGGGTAGATCTGCTGTGTCACCCTGTGGCAGCACTGACTGGGGATATCGTGGGATGCTAGACCACTGCAGCTAATTCTGGGCTTCTCCTCCCTCCCTCTCCAACTTTTCACATCCCCACTGGAGCCTGCACACCCCCCAAAGATGCCCCTGTGCATCCCCCTTACCATAAACTGCAGGAATGTCTTGTCATCAGAGGCCAGAAATTCCTCATAGAGGCCACAGAGCACCTGGGGAGGAGCAAAGGGGGATTGTCCTCAGGCATGGGCACAGTGCTGGTGCCACAAGTGGTTCACAACTTGCTGACATGCCCAGGACACACCTGCACATCCAGCTTGGTCCATTGGGCTGCCCAGAAGGGCTGGGACTCTAAATGGGTTTTACTGGGCTTGTGCTGGAACCAGTGATGCGTGCAAAAGGATGGCCACTGCCCTGTCATCCCCAGCCCCTGGCATGTGCACCTAGCCAGGGTCACCAGAGATGTTCAGTGACTGCTCAGCCCTGCTCTGCTGCCCAGCAAACCAGTGGGGAGGCGCCTCTCCACTGGCCTGGTCCACGGCAAGTTGTTCCCTTCCTAATCCCTTCTCCTCCTTCATTTTCCAAATACTTCCCTTCTTAAACAACCCCACAATCCTCACACCACCACAGGGGTGCCAATGCCAGCTGTATCCCCCCAGCCTGACCTCTGCCAGCACCCCTGTGAACCTTGCAAATCTCCTTCTGGGCTCTGAATATCCAGGGGGAGAATTCTCCACATATCAGATGGTTCCACAAACTCACGAGAGCCCTGTTCTCCAAGGGAAGCTTTTCAAAGTTGTGTCCTCCAGGCAGATCTTGCAGATCTTTTCACCAATCAAATGGTGCAGGAAGAAGCTGTTTTCTCTGTTGCAGTCCAGCACCACTGGCGGAAACTCCTCCAGGTCATGCCACAGGTCCAAAAGATGAGTCTCCATGGCCAGTTCTGGTGCTGTAGGAAATCTCTGAAGGGTCTTCCTGCACAGGCCTCAGCACTCAGGGCCCAAGGAAGGAAATCCAAGGTCTTGACTGGCTTTTTCAGGGATGGCAGCCAGGCAAGGGATGCACAGGGAGGCAGCTCAGAGAGGATTTTTTCCTAACAGAGGTTTTCTAGATCCTGCTCTGCACTGGACTGAGGTTTTCCAGGAAATGTTGCTCCTCCTCTGCCTCCAAAGGCATGCTCCAAAGGATGCTGTGACTGCTGGGGAATTGATCCCAAAGCATCCTTATCCAGACACAATTCCTCCCTGCTCCCAGCTGGCCCTGGCTGCTTCTCTGCTTTCACCTGAAAAGTGGCCATTTTCAATTCTTGGGTGCCTCTCCCCTCCTTGACCAAAGCCCAGACCTCTGCTTTGGCCTTCTGGCTGCAGCAGGGCCCTGACACACCCTGGCTCCCTTTGATGTGCATCGTGGGGAGGGGCTCTGACAGGCCTGTGACAAACATTCCTGATATTCCTGGAGCAAAGGCCAGCACGATTCCTCTTCCTCCATTCCCATCTTGCAGTGATGAAGAATTTAGGGAGCCAGTAACTCTGAATCATAAAAAGGACCTGCTCCTGCATCTTGCTTAGGATCTTCCCTCTGCTGCTGATGGACTGGATGTGCCTGGCTTTTGGAAGAGATCCTGAGATGGATGCAGGGAATTACAACGGGGAGATGGCTCTGAGCAGGCTGTTCTCCAGGCATGGGATGGCATCCCATCCCCCTGGGAGCAGCCAGGAAAGACCCCCTCTCTTGTAGGGCAGTGCTCATCCCCATCCCCCTGGGAGCAGCCAGGAAAGACCCCCTCTCTTGTAGGGCAGTGCTCATCCCCAGCTCCCGTGTCTCTCACCACGGATGGTGGTGGAGAAGGTGACAAAACTGGAGCTTCACACAGGTGAGTGGCTCTCAGCCTGTGCACCAGGGACAAGAACAGCTCCCTCTGACTCGTTCAGACCCAGGAGCCTTTCAGTGAGAAGCCAGAAGTCGATCAGTTCTTCCCCTACAGATCAGACCAGGGATGGTGCAGGAATGTGCCCATTGCTGATGGAGTGAACAAATTATCCTGTGTCTCCTTAAAAAGAAAAAAACCCAGAAGTTTCTCTCCTCAATTTGGTTAGAAGACACCTTATCAGACTTTGGGGACTTCACCTCAAACTTAAAGATAGCCTGTTGGACAGAAAGCAAAAAGTCCCACCTAAGCAATTCACTAGAAAAAAGAAGAAAACAAAAGTAATAATCGCTTTTGTGAGGTGTTTTAGCAGGAGCAAGAACCTCTTGCTCTGGCTCAGTTTTTCTCTGTAAAAAGCTTTGTTATTTTGCCTTTATTTAAAACTTTTGTGTTTCCAACGCTGTCACAGAAGCCATCCTGCTACTTTTATGCCATCTGAGGTAGCTGAGCTATCTCAGGTGTGGTACTTTTCTCTGAGAGCTTATGAGACCTGGCTCAGAGAGATAATTATCACCATGGGAGTTGGGAGGGGCCCCTGAAAGCCCCGAGGGTGGATGAAGCAGAAGGAAACATCACCTGGATGAACCGCGGGAACAGAGCAGAGAAAAGCCATGGTTGTGCATCTCTGTCACTATAAGGACACGTGTGAAAGCACGACGTGAGCCACTGCTATTGCAAAGGTAAAAAAGAGGAAGTTTTATTTCTGATTCCAGCATTTATACTTTTCCAAAGGTGACAGTGGATTGGAGGGTGGATGTGCCACCTCTCCAATGACATTGGACAAACTACTAGTACATCAAGTTTCTCCACCTCTATGAAGGAATGCAAAACAATAGGTTGTTTTCAGAAAGTTGTGTGAGAAAGTTCTCTGACGGAATGTAAACTCAGAAGGCTTTAGAAAATCTTAAGGATCAGGGCGACACATCTCCTTCCCAGCTCTGCTGCTGGCTCACCTTCCAAAGCTTTCTCTGGGATCTTACCCATGCCCCCAGCTCTTTGCCAGCGTCCTGCCAGGCCCGTGGCTGGCTGGGAGGGGGGTGTGGAGCACCCCGTGCCCACCTGGCATTCCTTGGATGAAGGCACAGAAGTGCTGCATGCCCTGGCTCCCACTGATGCACCTCTCCAGCAGCCACTGCTCAGCACTCTGCCAGTTCAGGAGCTCTGCTGTGGGTCACAGAGCACCGATGGCATCAGGGGTTGCCTGCCAGATCCCAAGGAAACTCTCCAGCTCCCACCCTGAAAGAGGCTGCTGGAGCCAGACCAGCAAATCACCCTGAACTGGGAGTTTCAGACAGGCTGTGGGATGCACATGCGGTGTTTGCAAAGATAACTCGCTCCTGTCAGGGACAGTTTGTTCAGCTCTTGTGCCTCTCTTCCTTGCAAATGCCCATCTTTTCTTGCCTGAGTTTGGGGCTCGCCCTCAAATTCCTCCAGCTTTGAGTTTCAACCCGACTGGAGAAGCAGCAGCAATATATTCAGGAAAAGACTTGGTGAATTGCTTACTTTGATGAAATGAGAATCTGTATTCCTGCTGCCACAGCTTTCTTTCCAGTGTCAGTTCACACACACGCTGAGGAAGTACCTGGCTGGACTGAGAACGCTCATTTGAGGGGCAAAGTGAGCACAACCCAGAGTTGTTGCCAGTAAGAGAGACCACAGCCTGTTTTTCCCAGGACATTCCTGCCCAGCAGCAAACCCAAAACATGGGCACCTGGGATTCCCGTGCCCCAGGATGCTCTCCACCTCTGGAGCTCTCGGTAAACCCTGCTAGGCAGGTACTCAGCAATCCTGCATTAACACCGTGGTGGAGTAAATCCCTACACATCCCATCGGGACCTGCTGCATCCCTAAAAACGGGATGAGCAACGCCTTCTTATTAACCCTTAGCAGAGGCAGGGCGCGCTGGGCAGGCACAGGCAGCGACAGCCCCGCAAGGAGAGGAAGCCCAGGCGAGGAGGAGAAGCCGCTCTGATTTCCTCCGTGCCTCGATGATTCACCTGCTTCCCCCGAGCCACTGAAACCCGGCAGCTTCTGCCAGAGCACGAGGAGCAGGCACAGGCTGGATTTGCAGAAGTCAGGCAGCCGGGGCTTTTCCAGCCAAGCCACTCAAGCATCCTGCGTTGCCCAAGGAGAGGATTAGCTGTGAGCAAGGAGCCGGCTACTGCCCGCCCATGAGGGTGAGTAACAGGTCCCTGCTGGAGGGGAAGGAGGTGGGGAAGGCGCCCTGTTGCTTTATGGCGGTGCTGCTGCTAAGGCACAAGGGGGATGCTCGAGTTACAGCCGCTGCTCGCATCCCCAAAAGGAAGGCGGCAGCCGCGCAGCCGGGATTCTATCCCCTGCCTCTCCTCGCCCTTCTTCCCAGAGCCCAGGCACGGCAGCTCCCCGGGGGCTTCCAGAGGAGTGCGCTTTCCTTTTTGTTTTGGGATCCGAGCGCTGCAAGCGGCTGTGGGGATGGGGGAACGCGTGGGGAGCCAGCCCGGTGAGCAACGGGGCTTTGCTGCTGTTGAATCCAGGATAAGGAGCTGATGTTTGTGTCCTTCTCTGCCGCCACACAGCTCTCGGTGTTTATAGACAAACCCCATAAACTGCAGCAGGACTTGAAATGGATTGCGCTCCGCCCAGGGCTTAAAAGCGAAATGACGGCCGGCAGTGGAATGATGAACAGAGAGGGGCCTCGGCAGTGACCAGCCGGCTCCTTCCCTCCCTCCCCTGCCTGTGCCCTTCCTCCCTCTTCCTCCCACTCCTCCCTTCTAACGAGGGGCACCACCGGCCCGTACCACTGATGTAAAGGGTGTCTGCCCAAAAACCTGGATCCAAAGGGAAAGGGAGAGCTGAAAGAGATGGAGGGTGGCAGAGGAGCCCAGAGCCCAGCTGTTCTGGTTAGTTCCCGCTTCACAGAAAGGCATCAAATTCCCTTTTAGACCTCAATCTCCAAGCTGAGATCCTCAGGTTTCCCTCATTTTCCAGTCTGAAGGTGGTGTACTCCCAGTTTTCCTGCAGCCTCTAATGCCACAAAAAGTTCACCTGAGGAGAGCTCTGAAAGGCTCCAGGTTTTATGGTGCAGAGTGGACTTACGGGAAGGTTCAGAAAGATGTTGAAAAAAATCAACAAAAACATCATCTTGCAGCAGCAGCCCCATGTCCGTGGAGGCTATGGATGCTACAGTGAGAGCAGAGAAAGTTACCCAGGCTTTGTGTCACCAGCTGTGAGCCAAAAGAGTCGTTTTCGGGGGGAATCAGCTTTAGGGGATGTGTGGTACAAGCTTGTCCTTGTGCAGGGGGAGGATTTGGAGCTGGGACATTCTGTGAAATGTGTTTTGGGATGGGTGCCACAGGCTGTTTGGAAAGCACCAGGTTCAGGAGCACGCAGGAGCTGGGAAGTTTGAATGGCAGCCTCCCAAACAGCAAAGGTCCGTGGTTCACAGAGGCTGGGCACAAACGTGGTGGCATCTGTAGGGCAGGAGAAGGGAGGTGCTGTGGCTTCAGGGCACAAGCTGAGCTCCTCTGCCTTACATTGGGCATAACACAGCTTATCCACCCAGGACTCAGTGCAAGTGTCAGTGCCCAACACCTCCCACCACCCTGCCAAGCTTTATTCACGTCTGAAAGATCTGGATGCAAGAAGGTGGGCTGGCATCAGCCTGCTGCTGAGTGGATGCCCCTGGAAATGCCCTCTTCCACCAAGGCACAGTTGTGTTACAGGGAGGACCTAGATTTCAAAGCTTAATTGTGCTTTTCCCCCCTTTTTCCACCTTTTGGAGTGTGTTTAGAGGGGCTGAAACCCCCAGCAAAGGGTAACTCACCAGCAGTCATCATGATGGTGCAGTGTTCCAGTGCTGTGTTCCAAAGTGCTTGTTGGGGTGATCCTGGGGGGCTGCATGGCTCTCAGGGCAGCTCCCTCCAGGCTTGCTTATCCTGCAGAGAACAGAGAGAGGATCTGAGCAGTGTCTGTATGTGCCTGAACAGGATGGAACAGGCTTCCAGAGGGTGGGAGCCAGGCTCTTCTCGGTGGTGCCGAGCAATGGTATGAGCAGAAATTGGAACGGAGGAATTCCCACCTGAACATGAGGCAAAACTTCTTTACTGTGATGGTGACTGGGCACTGGAACAAGTTGCCCTGAGAGGTTGTGGAGCCTCCCTTAGTGGAGATATTTATGAACCATCTGGGCACAATCCTCAGTGCTGAGCTCAGGGGACCCTGCTTGAGCTGAGATATTGTACCAGGTGATCCCATCTGACCTCACCCATCCTGTGATGCTGTGAAATGTCACTTTTTAAATCACCAGCCCTGCACTCGGGCAGTCCTGAAATGAAACCCTTCCCCTCTCCCTGCTGGGGCAATCTTCTTGCCTTCAAAGCAGGTTCTGGTGCCACCTCAGCTCTGGGTGTGGTCGCTGTCGCTGGGTGGGGTCTGCTCAGCTCGGGATGCGAATTTTACAGGACACCCCACCGTGTCTGCCCCAAACAGACCAGGCCCACATTTCTTATCAGCTGTCGTTCTTCATCAGATCTAGGGCTGAGACCTGATTTTGGAGACCCTCCAGCTGGAAGGGGAGAAGGAGGAGAAAAAGAAGGAACCCGTCCTGCAGCAGGAGTGACCTGGCAGGAGGAGGAATCTGCTCCCCAGGTGGGTATTTGATGATCCTGCTCTTTGTAACGCCGCGGTGCCAGACCTGGGGGCAGGACAGTGTCCCACAGTGTCCCCAGGAGCGAGGCCACCTCAGGAGGTGGCGCTGTGGCATCAGGGATGCGGAGATGTTCCCAGCATCAGCATCAGGGCTCTGCATCTCAGCCACCGCCAGCGAGAACAGGGACAGCTCCGAAGGGATTGTGGGGCTGCTGCTGGGCTGCTCGCTGTGCCAAAACCCAAACTGCTGTGGGGAAGGGGCAGCTCTGAGCCACAAAACACCTGCTCGTCCCAGTGGGGCCAGGCAGAGCTGTGGGGAGGAGTTATGGAACACCCTGGGGAGGAGCAGCTCCCACCAGGGATCCATACAGATTTCTGCTGCTGAGCCCAAGAGATGGGGGGAGCCTGGGTTAGGAATGAACTGCAGTGGTGGCTGTCTCACACCTAAAAGAGTCCGAAATCCTCAGAGAAAAATCAAAATTTAAAAAAAAAGTTTTTAAAAAAATCACTTTTTCCAGTTGGGAACTGGGAAGATGCCCAGTAGGATCCTCAGAGGCTGAGGTGGCTCCTTGGGTGCTCATCCAGCTCTGAACTCGCCTCAGTGGGACTGTGATGGCTTCTGCCAGGAAAATAAATAAGGTTGTGAGCAGGAATTAGCCAACATGATCGCTGTGGGAGGGCACAGAGCCATTTCCACAGAGTTTCTCCCCAAGAGGAGACCCCAAGAGGTCTGGCAGGGTGGAGCTCTCCTCTCCTGGCTGCAGCTTCCCAGGTTTTCCCTCACATGAGGAACTCACATGAGCTGGGTGGCTGTTTAGAAAAAATAAAAAAAACCCAAAAAACCCCAAAAAAAACCCCAAAAAGGTTTGAAAAAAAGAAGCAGACACATGAGCACAGCCCAGATTTAGAAGGAAGCTCGGAGTGGCTGGGCTCCATAAGAAGATAAGGGCAGGGTTGCAACACCAAACAGGTCAGGAAGGCTTCGCTGCCCCTGCCCCAGCCTGAATCACCCATGTGCCCTGTCCCTGAGGTGGGGAGCAGCCCTCCCCTGGCAGCCCTGAGGTGCCAAGGGGCAGAGCCTCATGTTCCCAGAGGGGATGGGCTGGGGTTTTTCTCCTTGCCCAACACCACTGGCACCGCTCCCCTCTGTGGCAAAGTCCAAGGCTGCCCAAACACGATGTCAGCCTGGGGTCACTGGCCACTCACAGCCCCCCCAGCAGCCCAGCCTGGCCCTTTGGGTGCCATCAGGAGGGTGGGGGTTGTTTCCCACACACCCCGAACATCTCAGCATTGCTTCTGGCTCTGGGTGATGCTTTGGAGAGCCAGAAACCTGGGCAACTCCAGCCTGAGTGCACAAACCTGCTCTCCCCTCTGGCATAAGTATTATATCCCCACCATGAGCTTTTGGGGCAAGATTTGGGATTTTTTTTCCCGCTATACACCCTCATGATGTTTTCATAGAAATAGTTTATAGGACATTAGGCCCACAGTGCCTTACAACTGGAGTTGTCCAAGGCTGAGGAATTCCAGCTCAGCCTTAAATATGAATTCTTTTCTCGAATATACTAAAATGATTTTTCACATGCGATTTCCACGCTCAGTCTCCTGAGTGCATAAGATCTGTTTGCTCAGCAAGCACACCACTGGTGTTTCCCTGGGGAGTATTTTTCAGCCTGTTGCCATCTGTCTGTGGTTTCCTTGCTTGGGACTGTCCCTTACACCTGACAGCCCCTGTGGCAGGCTCTGCCTTCACTTGTCTCCCCTCCAGCTGAAGCAGAACCACTGGTGTAACCTTACCCCAGCCTCTGGGGCTGTTGACTTCAGCAGCCCGGGTTAAGTATGTGTTGTGGCAGGACAGGGACCTGATTCAGCCACAAGGGAGGGACATGGGCAGCGGCGGTTTGCTGTTATAATTAATAATTTATGCATTTAATAATTATTTTTATAATTATTTTATAATTAATTTATTTATTTATAAAGTTTTTTCTTTTACAATTTACAATGCCAGGCCCGGATCCACCACTTCATCCACATAGGCAGCAGTTTGAGGATTTCTGCACTCTCACTTATGGAGATGTGAAGCGTGTTAGGCTGAAATTAACTGTGCCAGCCACAGCTAACACAGCCCCAACCTGGCTGGGAGTGCTTTTAACAGTGTGAACAATAAAAAAAAAGAAAACTCACGGGGTGGGGGGAAAGAATCCCAACAAAAACAACCCAGCCAATGCACAGTGTGACCGATTTCCAACTGCAGGGAAAGGCATGTGCTGAGCGCTCCCTGGGATATTCTCCACCCTTGTACAGAACGAACTGAGCCAAGCAATTCCTGGGTCTCAAATCCCGCCTGCCGCTGATGTTCTCATCTTCCAGCTTCCCCCTGGGCCGCTGTTGAAGGCGAACACGTGCTGGGGGAAGGTGCTGGGGCCCCGGGCAAGCTCTGCGGAGCACAGCAGGTAGGGGCTGCCTGCTGGGAATGGCCCTGGAGCTGGGCAAGGGGCTGCTGGGGTATGGAGCAGTGCCATGGATTCCTGGGAGGGGTGCCAAGCCCAGCGGTGGGCACGGGGACGGGGTGGGCAGGGAGATGGCAGCACCTGGGCTGTCCTGGGGACTGTGCCCCAAGCTCCCTCTTCCCTCTGTGCATGGTCCAGGGAGCTGAATGGGGAGGGTTTGTTTTTTTTTTTTCACTCTGCATGTGCCTCTGCACTGATTCGTTTGCTTTCCCAAACTGCCCTTTAGTGCAGCTCAGGTGATCTGCTCTGGAAAGGCTGAAAGCCCTCTGGCCACCAGCCCGCGGCCACCCTTGACCCTGGCAGCATCTTCAAAGGGAGCATGGGCCTGCTGCGGAGCCTGCAATGTTTGCTCACAGCCAGGGCCAGCAGCTGCTGCCTGCCTGCCCTGGGGGGTTTCGTCAGCCCCCTGCAGCGCTCCGGGGGACACCGCTCGGCCACTGCTGCTTGCACAAGGTCAGTCTCCCCAGGACACTCATCCACCACACCCCAGGGCGAGCTCCCCCTGCTCACTCACTTCTGAGCTAAGGCTTGCTCGGGTGTTGGGTTGGTTTTTCCAGCCCTGCTGTTGCTAGTCTGGGTGAAACGTGCCTCATCTCCAGGTGTCCCAGCCTGGGCGTACCTCGGGAGGCCACCAGGAGCCACTGTCGTGGGTCCAGATGTGCCCAGGGGTGGGCAGGGATGGAGGTGATGCCAGGACAGGCAGCCTGTGGCTGAGGTCACTTGGGTGCAGTTCAGTTCCTGGTGCAGCACCTCCCAGCCCAAAGCACTTCCCTGGATGCATCTGAAAGTCACAGAATTCACAGAATTCACTGAGTTGGAAGAGATCTTCAAGATCATCAAGTCCAACCCAGCCCCAACACCTTAACTAAAGCCTGGCCACATCCAGTCTGTTTTTAAACACATCCAGGGATGGTGACTCCGCCACCTCCCCATTCCAGAACTTTATCACTCTTTCTGTAAAAAACTTCTTCCTAATATCCAACCTGTATTTCCCTTGGTGCAGCTTGAGGCTGTGTGCTCTGTTTCTATCAGTGGAGAAGGAGCCCAACCCTACCTGCCCACAGCCACCTTATTTAGCTCTGTTTAGGAGTGTCTTGACTGTTGAGCATGGGGAGAGATGCTGAAGATGTTCCTGCTCATTGCAGGGGGTTGGACTTGATGACCTTCAGGTCCTTTGCAAACCAAACCAAAGCATTCTGTGATTCCACATTGTTATGCCTGTCCCTCCTTCCCTCCCAGCTGTGCCACTGCTGGAGGCTGGGGCATTTTGGGTGTGTCCAGCCTCCTCCTGGGACCTAACCATCACAACAGAATGGGCAATTCCTCCTCCCTGTGTGACATCTCTGTTGGGAAAAAAAAAAAAAAACAAAATAACAAAATTCCTTTCTATTTCAGAATTTTTCTTTAGTGCTGGTGAAAACCCAATGGGTACCAGGGCTTAGCATTCGGGGGCTGAAATCTGTTGGGCTTGAGATCCCAGGATCTGTTGTGAGGATTATGGTGCTGGGGAAGTCCCCAAAAGCCATCAGCCACCTGCCCCCGAGGGCAGGGAGCCACAGGGAAATTTCATATCCTGTCTATTTAACCCTCAAGTTGCCACCCTCCTCACCCACCCCCCCTACCCTGCAGTGGTGTGACATCTCTGCATTTTAAGGTGTTCCCAAATGGAAGAGGGGGATGGAGGGGGACACATGGACAAGGGATGGGTCACAGCAGCCTCAGCAAAGCACAGTGCAGAGGGAAACCTCGATCCTTTACTGCCTGGCTGCTGGCTGGAGCTGGAAAAGGAGAGGCATGTCTCATGCTACCTGAGAGAAACTCATCCTGGTCCCCAAATCTTCCTTGGAGAGCACAGGGACACGGCTGTGCCCTGTCCCCGAGGGTTGGCTCAGCTGCCTTGGAAGCTGGAGGCTGCAAAGTCCAGGCATGGACTGTCCACCCCTTATAACTCAGCAGCCACTTCCCAACCTTGGCACTTCTGTCAGGATATCAAACTGTGCCGGCGGGAAGCGCCGGGCCAGGCCAATAAAGGCCAATAAAGGTGTTCCCACGAACGAACAGGAGGAAGAAGGAAAAACCTGTGCCAGTTGGGACTCGCCCTGCAAGGGGAG